TACTCTGTTCCACTGATCTACCTTTCTATTTCTTAGCCCTACCAGCTGGTTTTGATATTTATTGCCTTATAATACACTTAAAGCTCCGGTATTGCTAAACCTCCTTCCTTTACATTTCTTTATTAGTTCCTTTGAAAGTCTTGACTTCTTGTTCTTCCAAATGAATTTGGTTATTGTTTTATTCTAATTCAGTAAAAAGAAAAGTTGGGGTCTCTCTCTTGAGCTTTTTGGCTCCTACAGCTTCCTCTCTGAGCTCTGGGATATTCTCACAGGCGGATACATGATCCTCTCACTTTCCTGAGGTAGATCATGGCCCCTTCTTGCCTTTTCAGCTCCCACAGCATTTATCTGTGTCCTTCCACACCTACTCCTTAGGGCATTCAGCCAAGAGATGGGAGACCCTTTCTCTGGGTCGTGGGCTATCCCGTGGCTGCCAGTGCAGTGCATGGAGTGTCCACCTGCCATCCTTGCCTCTTGGCTCCTGGGTAGCCTGCTTCCTTTTCCGGCCGTCCATATGCATGAGCAGGTCTTTCAAGCACCTTCTTGCTATGTCTTCCTTGATAATGTGTCTGGATCAATTGGATTTAGAACTGTTACCGCTGCGCAACACATTTCTGCTCTCTGATCCTCAGTTTTCTCATTTGTAAAAAATGGGAAGAATAATGCTTTCAGGGTAGTCATGAAGTAAGCATCTGGCTAACCATAAAAAGCTACCTAAAGGTGGGGTTGTTATTATTTGTGTCTACTGGGCATCTCTCCAAGGCCGTTTGGATGCCCTGACATCTTGTTTCTCCTGAGATTATTGAGTTAACAGCACCAACACCACCATCACCAACAATAACTAGCAGATATATATGTGTGTGTATATATATATATATATATATATATACACACACACACACACACATATGTATATGTATATATGAACATATATGTATATATCTATCACTTTTAGTTTCACAAACTACTTTACAAATATAATAATAAAATAACATTTATGTAATACCTTAAGGTTTATAAAAGGATTTACACATGTTAACTCATTTGAACATCACTAACAACCATGAGAGGTAGGTGCTATTACCATCTCCATTTTACAGATGAGGAAACTGAGGCTGAAAGTTGAAGTGCTTTACCCAGGGTCACAGAGCAGTTACTCAACATGTGAAATTGAATTCAAACTTAGGTCTTTCTGACTCCAAGTCCAGGGGTTCTGACCATCACCAGCTGTGTGACTCTGGAAAAGTCACTTAATTTCTCTCAACTGCTGTGACGTATAAACCATAATAAAACCTACCAATTTGGTCATTGTGAGATCCAATAAAGAATCCAGATAAACCACTTCGTAAGCTCTGAAGTACTTAGTAAATGTTGGTTGTTATTATCATTTCAAAAGAAATCCATTGAATAATTTGATACCAAAAGAAATTAAAAATACAGAGAGGATGTGTAGGCCAGAACCAGGCAGGAAACTTACTAATGAGAATTGAGTCCAACTTTTACCTAAATACAAAATATGACAGCAATGCCTATATTCTTCCCTAGAGAGGAAGATTGCCCCTAAACATGGTTCAGAGGACCTAAAGCAATAACCCGACGCAATGATGCCAACAGAGGAAACATGTAAAGACAAGAGATGAATCAACTCCATCAGACCTTTGGAATATACACTTTTCAATCAACAACAACAAATTTTGAGAGAGTCTCTGCCCTCAAGGAGCTCAGTCTGGTTGAGGAGCCAAGAGTGATAAGCATGAAATTGTTGTAGAAAAGCAGAGCGTGGTCTACAATTCAAGGATAAATTAGGTAACACAGAATAAAAGTGGGCAGAAAAGGCTGAGATCAGTGTGGATTGAAGTAACAGGACATAAGGCAAATGGCCCATTTTGTTGATAAAAATTTATGAAATGTGGGGGCAGCTGGGTGGCGCAGTATATAGAGCATCAGCCTTGAAGTCAGGAGGACCTGAGTTCAAATTTGACCTCAGACCAAACACTTGACACTTACTAGCTGTGTGACCCTGGGCAAGTCATTTAAACCCAACTGCCTTAAAAAAATTTATGCAATGCAAGGAAAGTGAAATATATGAATCAATAGCCCAGTGGCAGTGAGTTGCTTTGAAAAGAAAGAAAAAGTAGTCCAATGGCCTCTGTGAGGTTTTCTCTAACTGCTTTATTGTCTGCAGAAATTCCCTTGAAAAACAACACACTTGTCATCTCTTCTTATTCTAAAAAGGTGGTTCCTTCTTAGGATTGAATTTTTTTTTTAAAAGCCATTGTTTCATCGCTACTCAGTTGCAAAGAGGCACATTCCAGCTTGATGTCTGGCAAAGCTTCAGGATGATCAGAGCAGGCCCAGAGTGGAAGGGGCAGGCTTAGGGGGCCAGGGGGCACCCACAAGAAAAGACTGGCCAACCACCCATTGAACATGGCCCAGAGGGGATTTGTGATCCGGAATGGGGTAGACTAGATGCTTCCTGAGGGAGATGCTGTGGTTCAGCACAAGACTGTGTGGCTCTCTGGAGGACTGCCCCTACATACCTCTTGGATCTTTCAGGACCCAGGGCTTTTCTATAACCAAGAATAGCTGTAGACTCTCTTAAAGAGATGTGATTTGAGAGTCCATCCAGAGTAAGAGTCCAGGGGCAGCTGGGTGGCACAGTGGCTAGAGCACCAGCCCTGGAGTCAGGAGGGCCTGAGTTCAAATGTGGCCTCAGACACCTAACACTCACTAGCTGTGTGACCCTGGGCAAGTCGCTTAATCCCATTGCCTAGCCAAAAAAACCACACACACACACACACACACACACACACACAAAAACAAACAACAACAACAAAACTGAGAGTCCATCAAAGGTCCACAAGAGGATTCCTTTTCTAGGCTATATTATTCCTGCCTGAGGCCAAAGGAAAGGAGGAAGTGTGTTTCCTGGCAACACCCTGCAAATTACACAAATCTGTGCATGTGAGCCAACCCTCTTGCACCCCAAAAGAGTCAGCTCACTGTAATGAATTCTGCCAATGGCAAGGATATCTAGCCATTTTCACACGTCCTCTTCCCAAATTATATATGACAATGACTGCCAATTTGAATCACTCAATATACAAATGTATTTGTTCATTTAACAAGGATATATTAAGTCTCCACTATGAGCCAGACTGTTCTGGTGGACACAAGGAACACAAAGAAATGCCCCCACCCCAAGGCAGCCCTTGACCTTGAGGAGTTTAAATCCTACTGAGGGATATTACCATTACACAGATAAGTTGACATAATTGATACAGAGCTGGAAGAGATGTCAGAGGTCCGCTAACTCAATTGTGTAATTGACCACTGAGGAACTGGGACCTGATAAAGCAAGTAAAGGCCCAAGGTCACACAGGAATGTGTGTGTATCTGTGTGTGTGTGTGTGTGTGTGTGTGTACAACAAATGTGTGGAAAGACAAGCTGCAGCAGGAACTATGATCCTCCAGGTTCTTTCTGGATGAAATCTTCCTAAGTGATTGGAACAGCAGGACAGCAGATCAATGCCAGAGCTCGTTTGTTTCTCTTTGCCAAAGGCCCTATAGAAACAGTCCGAATGGAGGACAACAAAATAAAAAATCATCGCCATCCCATCACCAGAGGGAGACTGGCTTGTTCTTGGGAGTAGCCTGGAGTCAGCAGGGAAGACACTGGACTGGAAGTCAGAGAGACTTGGGTTGAAAGTGAAGCACTATTTCCTGTGCTTCTAGTGCATGGCACATAGTAGGGGGTTAATCTAGGCAATGTGGAATAGAATCCTTCCACTGATGACCCACATGGTTATTGGGAGGAGGACGATGGGGATGGACCTTGTGCTTCATTAGTATAGTTGAGGAATGTCCCTCTGCCAATGCAAGCTGCCTCCTTCTCTACAACCTACAGGCTTGGAGAGTTGTCAAGAAGATTAAGAGGTCTGGAGAGCAATCAGCAGCTATGCCCCAAAAGTTATAAAACTGTTTATCCCCTTTGACCCAGCAATTCCACTACGAGCTCTGTCTCCCAAAATGATCAAGAGAAAAGGCAAAGAACCTCCATGTTCTAAAGACTGATAGCGGCTCTGTGGTGGCAAAGGACAGGAAACTGTGGAGATGCCCATCAGTTGGGGAATGGCTGAACAAGATGTGGTATATGATTGTGTAAGTAACGTAAGTAACGATGAGCTTGATGATCTTAGAAAAACATGGAAAGACTTGCATGAAATAATGAAGAGTGGAATGAGCAGATCTAAGAGAATGTTTGCATACAATGATAGCAATATCATCTTAAGAATAACTTTGGGTGACCAAGTCATTTTCACCATTATAAATACCCAAATTCACTACAAAAGACTTATGAGGGAATATGTTACCTGCATTCAGGAAAGAACTGATAAACAGAGGTAAGTATAGGATGGATTTCCATATATGTGTGTGTATATATATATATATATATATTATATATATATATATATATATGTATATATATATATACATATATATACATATATATATAAATTTATGTCTAATGGCAGCTGTCTGTAGGTAGATTTGCAGTTTCATGTGCAGTGCTCTCTTTTTCTATTTTACTTTTTCTATTCTTCTTAAGTACAGAAAAACAAAACAAAACAAAACAAATATTTTCCTTTCATTTTTTAAAATCCTGCAGAAAGAAAAGAAGAAGAAAATTGAAAGGTTCTGACTTACCTAGGGTTAAAGAGCCCCAGGACTTGGATCCAGTTCTTCTTGACCCTGAGGCTCCCTCTCTGTCCATTCTCCATGTTACCTCTCAATGAGAATAAAGCTTTAAATAAATAACAGATATTCTGATTTAGAGGATGGTGTCTGAGGAGCCACTGGCAGACATCCTCAGGGTTTTCAGGGGGGAGAGGGTCAGAAGGAAGTCAAGGCCACACTGCCATAGCTCCATCTTTGGGCAAAGGAAGCAGGAAGGTCAATCAGCATTGACATCAGCATGCCTGGCCCCCACCCATGGAGAGAGCTCTGGTCTGCTCCTCTTAGAAAGGCCGGATGCACAATGAACATTAGGCCCGGATCGAGCAGCTCATCATCTCTGCTGACACCCCAACAGGCCCCCTCGGGCCACTCTGAGCTGATCTCTATCCTTCAGGCTCCTTGCTTCCTTGGGTTCTCCTCAGCCCAACAACCGGCACAGCCAGAATGAGCCTCTGCCAAATGCTTGCCGTGGCCACCCTCTGGGCCTGTGAGTTAGCTTCTCCCTCTCTTCATGTAAGGTAAGAAGCAGAAGAAATTCTCAAAAGGATCTCTTCACATCTCCGTGTTCTCTTCTTTTATTTCTAGTTGGACATGAAGCTCTAGAACTGAAGCAGCCTCAAGTCTCCCTCACTAAAGACCTGAGCACAACAGCACGTGTGACTTGTCAAGTGTCTAGCAGTCAGACCTTTGAGAGCAAATACATACACTGGTACCAGCAGAAGCCAAGCCAGCCTTTACAACATCTGCTCTCTGTCCAGTCAACCAGCATCCCCAGCCAAAAATCCTTACATGAGATACGGAAGAAATTTGTGGCAGAAAAGAATAAAGACAAGGGAACCTCGATCCTAACAATAAGCAGCATAACACGTGAAGATGAGGTCACCTACTATTGTGCATGCTGGGAAGACCACAGCAGTCAGCCCTCACTGACAACACCTACAAGAATCCTGCCCTCCTCGCGTCCCTCCCCACATCCTCTTCCCTGGGGGCCGCCTCCTCATTTCTGGCTCCCATCCCAGTTGGTCTGCCCATAACACTTCCTGCATTTCTTACCGAGACCATGTGGCCCATGTCTATACCATACCACATTCCTGCTCCAACTCACACAGGTTCCAAACTCCCTCCATCACCATCATAACCGTTCACATCTCTACAGGGCTCTAAGATTTCCATTTGTTTTATGAGCTGGGCTAGACAGCTTCAGAGGTCCTTTTCAGTTCTCAAATTCTGTCATTCTGCTTTTCGGCAGAGAGCCTTACATCATATTGTATTGTGTCATCCTCTTCACCACACTATGGAATAGGTTCTCTTTCCATCCCAGCATCACCTGTCTAAGGAAGATTTTGAACCCAGATATTCCTGACTCCATGTCTTGCCCCCTGTCCAAAGTTCATGCACCAAAGCTGGCACTTGGATCCATTATTCCTCAGGAGAAATTAAAAGAAACATGAAGAAGGAAAACATGAATATCCTCTCTTAATTCCTTAGATCTCCGAACCAACCCAAATACATTTTCAGGTAGAATTTAGACTAAGTGACCAGGGAAGTGCCTGCCAACACAGAGATGCTATTTCTCCTCATTGCTTATCGTTGTGATGGTTCATTATCTTTGTTAGTCAGCAAGTGTTGATTCAGGTGGAGTGTGCCCAGTGCTGTGGGGAAGACGAAAGGAGTCCGAGACAGGGTTCCCTTCAACAAACTGTCCTTAGCCTTGGGGGAATGCTATGACCAGCAGTGAAAGAGAACCTGTGTCTATAGATAGCACTTCTTAAGCTATGGGTTATGACCCCATATAGGGTCACATAAATGAATGTGGAGAGGGTCGCAAACATTTGGCAGCAGTAAAAGGTTTCTGAACATGCAATGACCAAAAATTAGTTCAGAATCAAATGCATAAGGAATCTGAGGCGTTTCTGGCAACACTTTGCTGTGTTGCATCGCACAACCTCACTACAGCCTTAGTCCTGAGCAACAGCAACTGGCCAAGTTCTCAGGAGACACAGGTTTAAAGCTTGAGCTTCCTAAAAGCCCAGTAAATGCATGTGGGCTTGGCATTAGGACAGAATTTCCAATAATTTCTGAAATGGCCCTAGACATATTTCTGTCATTTTAGACTAAATATCTCTGCTCAGCAGCATTCTCAGCACTGATGACTAGAAAGTCAAAATATCGATCAACTCTGAAAAATGCTGAAGATTCTCTACATCCTGCAGTATCAAATACCCCACCAAGATTTAATTCATTATGTAAAAATAAATAAGCACGTCCATCTCATTAGAATGCAAATTTGCTTTTGTCTTTAATAAATAGGGAAAGTATGTATGTGTGTATATATATATATTATATATATATATATACATATATGTATATATACCAAAGAATTGTTTTAGAATAAATGTTTTTATGATTTATTTTCAGTAAATGTTTGATTTGTATACCTATTTTGTATATCTATATACCTGGAGTGGCATAAAAATTTCTCAGGCAAAAAGGGGTCACGAGTAGAAAAAATTTAAGAAGCCTTGCTTTAGGTGAGCAAGGCCTGAAGTGAGGGCAGTCACAGAGGAGATATGTGGTCATGGGGACTAGGGGTGGGGGATGGAGAGTGCTTCATGGAGGGAAATCTAAGCAAAATGAGTGATTTCAGGAGCCAGTTACAAAAAAAAGTGATGAGAATTCTATAAATTCTCCCCTATTTGTACAACAAATGCAATTGAAACAATAAAGATTAAGGAACTTCCTTGAGAAAATATTCTGTTAGTATTCTCTGTGGGAAACGAGGCTCCCAAAATGATCATCTGTTCTTTTCAAAAGCATTTCTCTAATATTAAAAACTCACACTATTTCCATCTACCAACAAGCATTTGTTAGTCATCTTCTGTGCAAAGTCTCTTATCCTTTCCATGTGCCAGGTAACTCTCTAATATCATAAATTTCAGAATGTGTTCATCTACATTGGTTGAGGATCTTCCTCACTGGGAGATCCCTACAACAATGACCTCACAGGTCCAGTAAAAAAAAAGTGCCTTCCAGGCATTATGTAGGTCCTAGGGATACAAGAGCAAAATTGAAAGCTCCTCTCTCCTCAAGGACTATATGATTTATGGGTAAAGCAACATGTCCATACACCTGAGAAAGTCAAAAATTTGTCCAAAACATGAGATGGGAACTAGACCTTTGGGTTCAGTCCTATCCAGAACTCCCAGGTGAGGAAACTCTTTCTATCAATAGAGGCCAGAGCCTCCTCTTAACTTAGAGACTTGCCTGGGTAACTGGGAGCTTCAATTAATTGCCCAGGGTCACATATGTCAGAGACATGACTTGAACTTGGGCCCTTATGATTTTGGGGACAGTTCTCTATCTCTTACTCTGCTGCCTCTCATAAAAAGGAAATATAATCTAATTTAGGGGTGTGGGGAGCCCTGGTAGTAGGAGGGAATTCATGAAAGCCCCTCTGTAGGACAATACGGTTGGCCTGGATCTTTGAAGAAGCCTAGGAATGCCTAAAGAAGGAGGTTTTTGGATAAGTTGTCCTGTCATGGAGTATAGTTAGTATAAAGGCATGGAGGTAGGAGATGGGTTTTCTGTGTGAAGAAGACCAGTAAGGAGGCCACTTTGCCTGGGACTTTCAAATGCATGAAGACAAATACTTTCATATGTGATATATCTGCAAAATCAGGCTAAGCTCAGGCCATGATGGGTTTTACATGCCAAATAGGCATTTTAATTTTATCTTAGCAGTAACAAGGAGGCACTGCAGCTCTTTAAGGTGGGCTTAACATGGTCACAACTGTATTTTGGGAACACCATTGGTCTCCTTGATGTGCCTGCAACAAGGCACTCCAAATCCCCACTCTGGATATTTTCTCTGGCTGCCTTCCCCATGTCTGGAATACTCTTCCTCCTCATATTCCCTTCTTAGCTTCCCTGCTTTCCTTCATGTGCCAGCCGAAATGCCACCTTCTACCAACCCATCACCAACCTCTCTTAATTTTAGTGCCTTCCGTCTGTTGGTCATTTCTTATTTACCCTGTTAAAGCATGTATGTACATAGTTATTTGCTTAGCACAGTTCCTGGCATACAGTAGGTGCTTTGCTGTTCAGTCATTTCCAGTCATGTCCCACTCTTCATGAGCCCATTTGAGGTTTTCTTGGCAAAGATATTGGAGTGGCTTGCTATTTCCTTCTCTAGCTCATTTTACAGATGAGGAAACTGAGGCCAACAGGGTGAAGTGATTTGTGCAGGGTCACACAGCCCGTGAGTGTCTCAGGCAGGATTTGAACTCAGGAAGAAGAGTCTTCCTGACTTCAGGCCCAATACTCTATGCGCTATGTGCCACCTTGATGCCCTAGATCCCTAATAAATCTAATCATTCAGTCACTGACTGGTTTCCCCAACACACACTGCAAATGTTTTCCCTCTTATGCAACCTTCAACTTACACTATATGTATGCTGTATGTATGTAGCTATTTGAATATTGTAAGCTCCTTGAGAGTCAGGATGATGATTTTGTAAATATCCCTAGCACTTAGCCCAGTGCATGGATCACGCTTATCGACTGACTTGATTTGTTGAGTCCTCATTTCTTTTTTTTTTTTTTGCTTAGGCAGTGGGGTTAAGTGACTTGCCCAGGGTCACACAGCTAGTAAGTGTTATGTGTCTGAGGCCAGATTTGAACTCAGGTCCTCCTGAATCCAGGGCCGGTGCTCTATCCACTGCGCCACCTAGCTGCCCCCAGAGTCCTCATTTCTTAAAAATGTTTTGCTAATGCTCTGCTTTTGACATCACTAATACTTTCCAATGACTCTTCCTCTTCAAAAAGAACTGACTTTTTTTTTACAAAAGGTACAGTTAAGAAAAATTGGATTAGTTTGGCAGTGTATGCCTCAGTCTGCACCAGAATTCCACCACCTCTCAAGTGAGAGGTAGGAGGCATGCTTTAACCATCAGTCTTCTAAAGTCATGATTGGTAATGACATTGATCAGAATTCTGATGTTTTTGCATTATGTTTTCCTTTATGCTACCTTAGGCTTCATAGAAATTGTTAGAATACCAGTTTCTATGAAGCAACATTTTCTTTTCTTTATCTGGAACAGGTACAAATTCCAGGTCTCAAATCTGTTGCCAAAAGATTTCTTTTAAAGAGAAGTGAATTTTCTATGTGTGGTCAGCCTTGTGACTGTGGATTCACACTCAAATGGGTAACCTACATGTGCAAAATGTGAAAAAGGTCCTTTTGGGAAGAGTAAAGATGGGAAGACCTGTAATGAGGCAACTGTCCATTGAAGATGCTCAAGAGCCCAGACAAGGCTTGTGGTGATGGGAAGGTGGAGGAAGGAGTAGATGGATAGAGGAGAAATCATGGAACTGGAATAAGTCCAACTTGGTAACTGATTAGATGTGAGAGCGGAGGTAGTAAAGTCTGCTCCCAGAGAGCAATGAACAGCACACTTCCTGTTAAACTGTCAACTAAACAGAATGAAAAAATTAACCGTGGCTGCAGGTAGAGCTTCCCATTTGGCCATGCACTGAGGAGAGGAATAGTAGTATTGAAGTCGACAATGACCATGTCATCTTTTTCCATCCTCCAAGTACCTTCTGCTTTCTATATGACCATCCTCCATGTTGGCTGTTGCTAAGAGCAGATGTGGTCTTCTCTTCTTTGCCTCTCCCCTCCCCTCCCCTCTCCTCTCCTCTCCTCTCCTCTCTCTCTCTCTCTCCTCTCCTCTCCTCTCCTCTCCTCTCCTCTCCTCTCCTCTCCTCTCCTCTCCTTTCCTCTCCTCTCCTTTTCTCTTCTCTGAGATTCTTTGTGGTTTCTCTCTCTCTCTCTTCGCACCACACACACACACACACACACACACACACTCACACACACACACACACACACACATCCTTAGTGTTCATTTATAAGTGGCTCTGCTGGTACATTGCCAAGGTGAAGATTCAGTGTCATTTAGAGAGCTCTTATCCTGGCTCTGCCACTCATTATCTATATAAATTCACTTCTGGGCCTCAGTTTCCTCCTTGTGAAATGACCAGCTGCTTTATTATGATTCTTCCTTAGACATCCTAGGATCTGTAGTCCATTTCATTTTCATATTTTATTCAGTTTCTACTTTATTCAGAATTTATTCTTTCTTTGATTATCTCCTTCATCCCTAAGGACCCCATTGAGTGAATGCCCTTACTGTGGATCACATGAGGACACTGTGACCTTGCTCATTTATTGAGAAGTGTGCAGTCTATTAGATCCTTCTCAGGAAGACTTTCTTCCCATCATGAAGACTCCAAGGAACAGTAAATCTCTGGACTTGCCCCATAATCAAACAGCCACATGACAAGTGTGAAGATGCTTGGGAGTTCTTACTTGTTATTGTTCTTGGATGAAATGTTGCCTCTATTCATGTCCCAGGATGAGCCTTGTGGTGGCCATGATGTTTTTGTTTAGCAGGTGATCAGTGTGATAGCTCAGGCTGGATCAAAATCTTTGCAGAAGGAACCCAACTTATTGTTCTTGAGAGAGGTGAGTGCTTTTTTCTTCTTTCTTATCCACATCGGGGTAATTCAAGTCAATCCAATGTGCTCCATGAAGCACCTACTATGTGCCAACACTGAGCCAGGAGGGGGGTTTGAATCTTGGCTTTGCAATTTACCATTGGGTGATTTTAGACAAGAAAAGGCTCTTCAAGCCTCAGTTTCCTCCTATATAAAATAAGAGGGTGGGTTTAAGTGACTTCTGAAAGCCCTGCCAGCTCTGAACTTTTAAAATACTTTTCAGAAGAAAGACCTTCACCTGAAATAGACTGATTTACACACACACACACACACACACACACACACACACACACACACACACACACACACATGCCTCCCTGGTTCTTGCCCATAATCCACAGTTGGAATCCCAACTGCAATATATGAACGGAGGGAGCCCATAAGGCATAAGATCCAAAGAGTTTGGTGGGGGCAGACCAGGTCCCTAGACAGGTAATCGTTCGCTTCATAAACTGATTAAGAGACTTCTCACAGAAACAATAGCATCAGCTGCCTTCTCTGCTGGGCTGCAGGACTGACAAAGCCTTCCTCTCGCGATCCCTCACCTGTCCACCCAGGCCAACAATTCCACAGGAATCATCCTCAGATAATTCAATCATAGCATTTAAAGCTAAAAAGGAACCCAGAGGACATGTAGTCTCATGCCTTCATTTGATAAGTGAGGAAATTGAGGTTCAGAGGTTTTATCCGTAGTCAGCTAAAAAATGAATGCTCAAACCCAGGTCTTCTGACTCCACAAGCAGTACCCTTTCCACTGTACCAATACACATCTTGGTAATTCCAAAGAAACTGGATTAATCCCAAGGGAAGTGATGTTTTTGAATAATATGTTCACATGGTATATAAAATAGGGTAAGGCAGACAAACCTGGGAATGAGAAGAAGATAGCTTTTTAATGATAACAAATGATTTAGTAATGGCACTGAGCTAATCATTTTGAATTTAGGGACTTTTACGTAGATGATAATGAGTAAGATTTGCCAGGGCTAAGGCTGTATCTGTCCTATTTGTATCACCCGTAGTGCCCTTTATCCATGGCAGACACTTGCAAGTGTAGAATACACATAAACATGGATAAGAATCCAACAGAAAATATGGGTGAATGCTCATAGATGACAGCAGGAATAACCTACTCAAATTCTGCCTTGGGCTGTATAGTCAAGGCTCATGAAGATGGCCACATGAGGGGGAGTAACAGATGTGGCAGCATCTTTGACGATGACACGTCCATGTAGATGGACTTTAACTAATCCACCCTTTGAAAGATGGGATCAGATGGGCTCTATGACAAGTACTCTAAGTCTAAGCTAATTAGCAACTAGGTGACGAAAGGGGCCCTCAGGAAAGTTGGGTGCACTCTCAGGGAATCAGGAGCTTGTCAGAGTTTAGGGGGCTATAAGGTGGGGAATAATGCAGGAAGAAAGGGAGCATATGAGTTGTATGACTCTGGGCAAATTATATTTTTGTGCCTCAGTTTCCTCATATGTATAATGAGGGGATTGGGGCTCCATGACTGGTAAGGTTACTTCCAGCTCTCAATTTATGATCCTGTGTGTGCTCAAAATTGTTTTGGCCACTTTGATTGAACTAGCCAGTTAATTTTTTAATGGGTTGATTCAATCTAACAAACAGTTTAGTGGAGAAAATATTTAGCAAACTGACTTTTAGCTCATCAATTCACTTAACACAACCAGAAGAATTGTGTGTCCAAATTATTTCATTATGTCTTCCATCCATAACTTCTTCTCCCCATGGTGGCCATCCTATTGGAAACTTTTTTTACAGCCTGGATAATCATTAATGGCTTCCTAGTGGGTGATCCACTTTCCTTCTTTCCCCACATCCAATCCACCCTTCACATGGCTGCCAGACAACTCCTTCCTAAGGCTTAGATGTCAGTCCACTGAATGTACAAGAATCCTCAGTAGCTCTCAACTGCCCACGAAGTAAAGTTCAGAGTCTCAGTTTTTTCCCCTGTAAAATGGGAGTAATAATATTTATATGACCTTGCTTCCAGAGTTGCTGTGAGGGAAGCTCTCGATAATCCTTAAATTGCTCTAGAAATGAAAGATGTCATTCTATACACATACAAGTGTATGGGGGGGGGGACTAACTGATGCAAGTAGTGGGGTTGGGACAGTGAGCCCAGAGGGTTGCTGAATGAGCATCAGTCTAGAGGCATGATGCATCACTGCCATGTAGCATAGCATAGTGAAAAGAGACTATTGTCCTCATTCAAAAGCATGTCCCATTGATTCACAGGAAGAGGAGGAGGAGGGGGGATGGGAACAGATCCAGCCCTCCATCCTAGGCTATCTTTAGGGGCCTCTTTAGGAGAATTCTAAGGTAGTCCATTTTCTTTTTTTTTTTTGCAGATTCACATTTTTGTTTATTGATTTTTAATGCTATAAGAAGTTTAAACAAATTTGTAGATTTTTTTCTCTATACTATTTTTTACTAATTTATTTTTAGTTTTTAACATTTACTTCCATAAGCTTTTGAGTTTTAAATTTTCTCCCCCTCCCTCCCCACTTTCCTCCTCAAGACGGCACTCAATCTGATATAGGCTCTACATATACCTTCCTATTAAACATATTTTCACATTAGTCATGTTGTAAGGAAGAAATAGGACCAATAGAGGGAACCACCAGAAAGAGGAAACAAAACAAAACTGAAGAAAAAAAGAGCAAATAGTCTTCTTCAATCTGCATTCAAAACTCCACAGTTCTTTCTTTGGATGTGGATAGCATTTTCCATCATGAGGCCTTTGGAAATGTCTTAGATCCTTGCATTGCTGAGAAGATCTAAGTCTATCAACGTTAGTCACCACACAGCGTGGCTGTTACTGTGGTTCTGCTCACTTCACTCAGCAACAGACCATACAAGTCTTTCCAGGTTTTTCTGAAGTCTGCCTGTTCATCATTTCTTATAGAACAATAGTATTCCATTACATTCATATATCACAACTTGTTCAGCCATTCTCCAATTGATGGGCATCCCCTTAATTCCAATTCTTTGCCACCACAGAAAGAGCTGCTATAAATATTTTTGTACATATGGGTCCTTTTCCCATTTCTATGATCTCTTTGGGATACAGCCTTAGAAGTGCTATTGCTGGGCCAAAGGGTATAAGCATTTTTATAGCCCTTTGGGCATATTTCTAAATTGCTCTCCAAAATGGTTGGATCAGTTCACAATTCCACCAACAAATGTATTAATGTTCCAATTTTCCCACATCTCCAACATTTATCATTTTCCTGTTTTGTCATGTTAGCCAACCTGGAACATGTGACGTGGTACCTCAAAGTTGTTTTAATTTGCATTTCTCTAATCAATAGTGGTTTAGAGCATTTTTTCATATGACTATAGATAGCTTTAATTTCTTCATCTGAAAACTGCCTGTTCATTTCCTTTGACCATTTATCAGTTGGGGAATAAAGGCAGGGAATTTTCTAAGGGGCTTAGATGTCATAACACAATGTTTCTGGGATAATTTTCTATATCCAAGTATTCAGCTCTGGAAGAGCACTCACCATGACTTAAATCTGTAGTGTGCACGTAATATTTTGGCAGTAAGATGTGACTCCTGTATTGGGAAATTGTGCCTTGTCTTTCAAAAATAGTTTGGGATCAGAAGACCTGGGTTCAAAATTATGGCTCTGACACTACCTGTGGGAGACAAGCATGCGATATAATGGAAAAGCTCTGGATTTAGAGACTGGGAGCCTGGACTTAAGTCCCAGCTTTGTCTCCTGTATTCATAGGAATGCATAGAGTGGGCATGCTATTCTATGCATGCCTATGGATATATAGTGACATGTTTATACATGAATGGGAGGCACCCAAGGGTACCTATCAATAGTCTTAGACACTTGTCTGGCCCACTGAGAGGTTCAGCGAGTTGTCCAGAATCACACAGCCAGCAGTGTCAGAGGTGGGACTCGAACCCAGGTCCTCCTGTCTCTGAAGCCAGCTCTCTATTCAGTATGTTGTACTGTTTCGCTAATAACAATGATCGTGATAACATTGTATGGTTACAAAGTGCTTTAGAGTCATCATCTTATTTGAGCTGCATCCCACCACAATGAAAGAGGCAAGAGAGATATTATTATCCCCATTTTACAGATGAGAGAACTGAGGCTTAAGGAGGTGGGGTGACTGATCCAAGGTCTAGATGTGGAGATTCTGTAAAGGGCTCAGACATTGTGCCAGATTATCCATACATCAAAGTATTTGGCTCTGGAACAAAACTCATTGTGGCAGGTATGTTCCATGACTACCAGGTCACTGGGCTTTGGATGCTGATGGTTAGACAGGACCCAGTGTGGGGATTCTGAACCCAATCTTATCAAAAGGAGTTTATGCTCAGAGAACCTGTATCCAGATGCCAGCTCTGCTACCCTTTGGATCCTTGGGTGACTTGGGCGAGTCACTTAACCGCTCTCTGTATCTCAGTTGTATCACCTATAAAATAAGGGAACTGGACCAGATAATCCCTTCCAGGTCTGAATTCTGTGAAAATACTGACATTTGTGGGGAAAACATTTAAGAGCTGTGTGAAACATTTTAAATACAACATTGCATTTGCTGGTTGCAACACTGCAATAGTTACTACCATTTCCATTGTTCAGATAAGGAAACTGAGTCTTGGAAGGGCAAAGTAGCTTGCCCACAGTCATATAGTTAGTATATCTTGCAGGCAGGGTTTGAATCTGGGTCTCTCCTAACTCCGGGTCCAGAGCTTTTTCTAATTGACATCACCCTCCCTCTCCTGGATACAAGTTAATGTTTACACTCCAGGAATTCTCTGGAACATTAGGGAACAGCCTAAATGCTCCAATGGAGAATCATTTTACAGGCATGAAATTTGGTGCTAAGCATTGGCCACCCAGATCCCTGTCACACAAGGGAATGGCTGGAAGGACAATGTAGCTTGATTTTTTTTTTCTCTAACGTCTGCCGCCTTGGGTATTTTCTTGACACAAAAAGGTGAAGGTGTGAACAGTTACTGTGATAGAAATTCAACTTCCCTCCAAGGTTTTTCACACTTCAAAAAAAAGGGGGGGGAATTTTTCCTAATTTACAATTATGCTCAATAAGTAATCAGATAAATTAGAAAAAAAAACTTTTGTGGAGCTGGAATGAGTATTTGTAGAGGTGGAATGAGACAATAAAGGGGAAAAGGAGAAGAAAAGAAATAAGGGAAGAATTTATAAGGATTCAATGCAATTGTTAGGTTGGAGAACTGAGGTTCATTGAAAACTTGGCTGAGGTTTGGTAAACTTATGGAGACATAATTATGCAGACAAGAAAAAATACCCCAGAGACAAACCTTTTGGCCCCACAATGTGCCTTGATTCTGTCTCTGGTTGTGGGGGAGCTCCACAGGTGGTTTTTGTAGCTGGCTGCCCCACAGTGGGACCAGCTAAAGTCTTTGGTGAAGGGACAAAGCTCATTGTGACAAGTAAGTGGTTCAATTACGTTTCCATTAGTTTCCAGTAATCCCAGGTAAAAAGTAAGGCTCAATCCCTTTGGGGAAGCAAAGCACCACAGCCACTGAATATCTGCAAGTTAAATGGGTTACTTTCCAGTGGGAAAGCTGTGAGTCCCTGCCTGAAGTTAGCGGTGGTGGGGAAATTTTGTTCCGGAGAGAATGGGTGCAAGGGACCAAGGCTCAGGGGAGATGCTAGGCTACTTCGAATGATTTTTTTCTGTGGCATTGCTGTTGTCATTCTACTTTAGTTTTGTAAATGTGCCTGATAAAATTCTCTGCGTAAAAACTGTCTATGGAGCAAACCAGCCTTCTCATTGTTATGCCTGTGATTCCTCTTATGCCTCTGACTTCACTGTGGCTTCATACTGATTGCATAAGATTCTACCATATGAAGAAAAAGTTAGGGAAATGTTAACATTTATTAAAATCTCATTAATAGTAAAAACAGGACTGCATGGAACTAAATGTATCACATTTTTACCTATGACTTTTTATGATTTAAGGTTTTCTTTTATTTAAAAGATCATTCATAAAATACCATATCCATAAATTCCTGTCATGTCTATGACTGTTCAAGAGGGATCAGATGTGTTCTGCTTGGCCCCAGGGGCAAAGCTGGAAGCAATGGAAGAAGTTGCTTGCAAAGAGGCCAGCTTGGGCTGGAGGTTGGGAAGAACTTCCTCCTGAGAACTGCCCTAATGGGAACTAGTCGGAAGTGAGCTCCCCTTCCCCAGACGTCTTCAAAGAAAAGCTGTATGGTCACTTGACCGTTCTATTCTAGTGGGAATTCTGGGGGGGGGGGCATGGGTTAGTCTAAATTTGACATAAATATAAAAACCATTCTTAGCTCACAGACCGTACAAAAACAGGTAAGGGTGGTGGGCAGGAGCCACAGTTTGCCGACCTCAAGCTGAATAGTCATCAAGGTCCCTTTAAGCTAGAAAATTCTAGGGATCAGTGACTCTGACAATGACTTCAGTGTAAAAGTTGAACTGCATAGTTTGGCAGTCAGGTGTGATCTGTTAACAGAAGTCTCTTGAATATCTTTTAAAAATTGCTGGGAGTCAGGGGACCTGGGTTCCCTCCTTGCATGATTTTGAGTAAGTCATAACCTCTCGGCACCTCTGCTAACGCATCTATAAAATGGATGAATTTTAGAGCCAGGGGTTCTAGGCACTGTGAACTTTATACATGCATACATCGATCTGTCTATCTATCTATCTATCATCTGTGTGTGTAGTTTCATATATATATATATATATCTATATCTATATCTATCTATCTATCTATATATATATATATATATATATATATATCTCCACACATATGTCTCTGTGTGTATAGTTATCATTATATTTCAATGAACTTAGTTGCTTTGTATTCCTGTGCATTTTATTTCACGTATTTAAAAGCGTTATCCTGAGAAGGGGCCCATAGACTTCACCAAACTGCTGTCAAAGGGATCCAGAACACAAAAACACACAAAAAAGTTAAGAAATACTGGTCTAGACAATTACTACGATCCTTTCCAGGTCTAAATTCCATGATAATAAAAAGAAAGCTGACTTTTATATAGGTAAAAGCTTCTAGTTTCTAAAAGCACTTTATACCTGTTAACTCATTTCATCCTTACAAGTCACAATCAAGTGACTTGCCCAAAGTCACGCACTTAGTGTCAAAAGCAGAATTTGAACCTGAATCTCCAGTGCAGGTCCCAAACTCTTTTCCATCTCTACCACACTAACTGTCATGTTACACAGCAGGAATTCCCCAGAGGGGAATTCAGGGACAACCTAACTTCAAATGGGGAAGTGCAAAAAAAAAAAGTCCCCCTGCTCACAGTCACTCCGGAGATGATTTGACCACTTGGAAAGTGACTATGAATTTTTCTATGGACCCAAGGTGTCACTGATGTTTTCTTCCCCCCCAGAAAGAAAGGGTAGAACATTTACTGTGACTGACATTTGGTTTCTTTCTGAGGTTTTTCAATCTTTGCAAAAGAGGGCATGCTCTCTAACTAATCAAATAAATTAGAAAAAACTGCCACAAAACCAAGAGGAGTATTTTGAGAGGAGTAATGAGAGGAATGAAGGTAAAAAGGGAAGGAAAGAAATTTACAGAGAATCAACCCTAATGTGGAAGTTGGAGAATTAATGTTAATTGAAAACATGGCTGAGATTTGGTCAATGTATTTTTGTGAAACTGGAATGAGTATTTTTAGAGGAGGAATGAGCAAATAAAAGGGGAAAGGAGAAGAAAAGAAATAAGGGAGAATTTATCAGGATTCAATGCAAATGTTTAGGTTGGAGAACTAAGGTTCATTGAAAACTTGGCTGAGGTTTGGCAAATTTATAGAGAATATACAGACAAGAAAAAATACCCCAGAGACAAACCCTTTGGCCCCACAATATGCCTTGATTCTGTCCCTGGCTGTGGGGGAGCTCCTCAAACGGTTTTTGTGTCTGGCTGCCCCACAGTGGGACCTGTTAAAGTCTTTGGTGAAGGGACAAAGCTCATTGTGACAAGTAAGTGGTTCAGTCATACTTCCATCAGTTTCTAGGCATCCCAGGTATAAAATGAGGTTTGGTCCATTTGGGAAAGCAAAAAAACCACAGCCATTGAATGTCTATGAGTTAAGTGGGCTATTTCCCAGTAGGGATGGCTGTGAAGATACAGCTGGAATTAGTGGGAATGGGGAAATCATTTTGTTCTGGAAGGGGTGGGTGCACACACTAAAGGACACGGCTCTAGAGAAAGAGCTGGTGCTACTTCTCGTTACGTTAGAATATTGGGAAATGAAACCAATAAACTCCTCTGGATAAAAAAAAAACTGACTAAGGTGAAAATCAAACCTCACATTTAATTAACTGATTCCTCCAGTCCCTTTGACTCTGCTATGGCTTTACAATGTATGTGACTCTATGATGTTAAGGGAAGGTGGGAGAAATGGGTAGGTTTCATTGTTGTTGTTGTAGCCTTAAATCAATTAAAATTTCATGAGCGTTTAAAACAGCATTGAGGGGAGATAAATTTATCACATTTTGCAGGTGACTGCTCAAGATGTGATTATAATAACTTCACTGGATCAGATTCAGGATTAGCAGTAAGTGCTTTGCTGTTTTTGTGTACATCTCAAGCTAAGCCTTAATTTGGAGTCAGAAGACCTTGAATTCTGTTTCTGCCACATACTGTGTGACCTTGGGCAACTAATTTCCCCTTGTTAAACCTCAGTTTCCTCATCTATAAAATCACAGGCTTAGGCTAAATGGTTAAGGTTAATGATTAGGCTAAGGTCCCTGACAGCTCTAAATCTAGAATCCTGATTAACAAGGTCTAAGATAACAATCATTATCTTCCTCTGCTGATTCGACCAAAAAAATTCCCCCTTCAGTCACGAACACTGCCTGATAATTAAACAAAAAAGAAAACACCACATAGTCTGGATCCATGGAGAGCCACATATTGACTTAGAAAACTACAAATTAACATTATTTGTGTTGTGTTATATCTTTATTTATTTTGTAAAATATTTCCCAATTACATTTTCATCTGGTTTGGCCCATACGGGGGAGTTTTCCAATGGTGATTTTGACACGTCTGTACCAGGTGTCTGCCTTATTATACATTTGGAGTTCAAACGGAAAGAATTGTAAGTAATTCTCCAAAGATGTTGATCATTCTTCTACAACTTATCAGATCATTTAGTCTACAAATTATATTTCTCTTGTCAATCTAATACTATGGTTTACTCATTGCTGTGCAGTCATTCTTCAGTACTTCATGGATTCTGTTAATTTCATTAGTGTGCATTGGCCTCTCAGACATAGGTTGCACTCGCTCCTCAGCTTCCAAAGTCTTCACCCCCCCCTCAGCACCAAATCGTCAACTTATGAGGAGCTCCACCAAGCATAGCTTGGCTGGTTTCGGGATGGTGGACACACAGCTTGGTGCCTATCTTAGAGGAACAAATCGGAGCTTAGGATCCATTGGCATTAACTTTAAGGAGCCAGATCCCTCCCAGGACATGAGGAGGCTCCCAATGGAAGAATTTAACGAAACATTGAATTCGCTGGCTATTTCCAGCCCTCCGGCAGCAGCTCCATTAAGATTTCACATTCAGTCTTAATGATATAGTCAGTTCTCACAAGAAGGCTTCAGGGAATCAGATCCATCAGCCTCTTCATGGTCCTAATGTAAGTTATAATTAGAAGGGATCTGGAGCAATGCCGTTGCCAATTGGACCAACAAAACACTTTGGGGGAAATCAAGTGATTAAATGTATCTGTATTTGAAAGATGCTGAGATACCCAGAAAATTCCCAATTATTGGGTAAATTCAACCTAGGAAAAGGCATGAAAAATCAGTTAGAATTTTCCCAATGGGAGTCTTCAATAACGTTTTAAACTCACATAAAACTTCAGAAGGCAAAGGTCATTTTGAAAACACCAATAGAATCATTTCTATGAAATGTTTTGGACAAGGCACAATGCATTGTTACTGGTAAATGTATATACGGATATACAAGATAATGATATGGAAATAAAGTCAATCCCTCTTCTGGAAAACAATTACTGTGGGGAAAGAGCATCCTTTATCAACAGAAAGCAATTTTGAAAGTTTAGAATGATTTTTTTCATGCACTGCTTGGCTTCTCAAACTTAGGATATAATTGATACTTTTAGAAGGAGTATGAAATAATATACTCTTGAGTAACCTAATGATTTTCTTGTGGAAAAATTAAGAAAAAATGTAAACTTAGAAACTGAGCAGAAATTTTAAAAATATCTTATTACATGTAAAAACATTTTTTAACATTTCTTTAAGTTTTGTATTCCAAATTCTAACCCTCCCTTCCTTTCTCCCCCCCTCCCTGAGACAGTAAGCAATCTAATATAGGTTATACATGTGCAACTATCTAAAATATTTCCATAGTAATCATTTTGGGTAAGAAAATTTGAACAAAAGAAAAAGAAAGTGAAAATAGTATGCTTTGCTTTTTATTCAGATAACATCAGTTATTTCTTGGGAGGTGGATAGCATTTTTCATCATGAGTCCTTTGGGATTGCCTTGGTTCATTGTACTGCTGAGAATAGGCAAGTCATTCACAGTTCTTCATCACACAATACTCTTTCTATGTATAATGTTCTCCTGGTTCTGCTCACTTGACTTTGTTTCAGTTCATGTAAGCTTTTCCAAGTTTTTCTGAAATCATCCTATTTGTCACTTCTTATAGTACAATAACATTCCATTACAATGGTGCCACAACTTGTTCGGCCATTTCCCAATTGATGGGCATCCCCTCAATGTCCAATTCTTTGCCACCATAAAAAGAGCTGCTATAAATAAAATCTTTGAGAATTTGAAAGCTCCATATTCATGTTCAAAAGTTGGATTCTGATTTATTGCCATAGAATACTGATGTGAAATTCTCTTTGGCAACAACATAATGTGCTTTGTTAAAACTTTCCCAAGTATTTGATCCTGTATAAAATCAAATAAATCAGGTGACATTAGAATTAAGTCTATATAGAGAAAAAATGGTTCTTTAGTATTACCTAGGAAAAAAATATCTGGTTTAATTCTAAAAGAAATTCAAAAGCCAGCCAGTTCACAAGAATGGCCCTTTTTAATATCATGTCCCATCCCAAAAGCCATATTTCCTATGCAACATACTGCATCACCAAAACTGTTGAACATGCAGAAATAATGTGTTAAAAGTATTTAAGGGGTTATCATCTGGAAGAGGGCTTCACCCTGTTTTACTGCTTGACTCACAAGGGCAGAACTGAGTTGGAAAGAGGCAAATTTCTACCTGATATAAGGAAGATCTCTCTAACAATTCAAGCCATCCAAAAGTGGATGGAGCTGGCTTCTGAAGTAGTGGCTGCCTCACCTGGACGACCACTTGGGTATAGCATATAGGGAACATTTTTTTCAGTTTTGGGTAGGACTAGGTGACCACTATGGTCCTTTTCAACTTTGAAATTCTGTGAGTCTAAAAAGAATGGTGCCCCAGGAGGCCTAAAGGGCATCTCTCCTTGTCCCAGACAGTATTAAGGTTCAAGATTTTCTTTGACCTGCATCAGATGGCATGAATATTAGCCTTTCAGTTTTCCCAATAATTACCTTTATGTTCTTTGGTTTTCTCTGTAGATTCTGTTATCAAAAAGAAACCACCAAAGCCCATATTTTTTCTCCCTACGTTGGAGGAGGTGAAGCAAAAAAAATCTGGGACCTACATTTGCCTGTTGGAGGATTTTTTCCCCAATGTTGTTAAAACATATTGGAAAGAAAATGAGAACTCAAGCCCTCTGAATGCACAGCTTGGACCTATCACTAGGACCAATGGTTCGTATTCACAGGTCAGCTGGCTGACTGTACAAGAAGACAACTTGCCTAAAAACTTCACCTACTTCTACCAGCATGAGGATGTGGGCATAGAACCTATGGCAGTTCCTCTTCCTTCAGTTTGGGAAGGTAAGCACCCAGATCTCACAAGGGGGAAAACAAAGCTCCACATTTCTCCATATTGGCTTCTCTCTCTCCAAGGGCTTTCCATCAGCAGGATCAAGAATTGACCTCGCTGTCAGTAAAAGTCCTGCCCAGCCTCCCAAAGTCAATCAACAATTATGTATTAAATACAGTATGCCAAGAGCTACTAAGCACTTTGGTTACAAATTAAAAATAAAAAGAGTCCTTGCTTTCAAAGAGTTTATATTCTGATGGGGGATATTAGACAGATAGAGACAGAGACACAGAGACTGAGAGAAAGAAAGAGAGAGGGAGAGAGACAGAGACAGGAGATGGGGGGGGAGAGAGAGACAGAGAAAGACAGAGAGAGAGAGAGAGAGAGAGAGAGAGAGAGAGAGAGAGAGAGAGAGAGAGAGAGAGAGAATAAAACAAATATACAGATAAGCCACCTGATCATTAGGACTGAATTGTCTGGTCAATAATGAGACTGAATGGACCAGACAGAATTGGGACAGTTACATCAAAAGACACAAATGGACCATGGAGGGCTATATCAAAGTAAGTTATTTTGTTTCTCTTAAAAAATAGTGACTTTTGATAAGTCTTCTTTGCTTTTAGTCTGTGAACATATCTAATGCTTTTTTTGCTAACATTACTCTTCATCTTCCATCCAGCCAAACCACTAAGAGAAAGGCAGAGACATCTAAGGTTTGCACAACTTTGGATTAAATCCTATCATGTGGTATGTGAGCTCAACACAAAGAACTCACATCAAATGTTCCTACATCAAACCAGTGGGGCCAGGATTCCGTTCTCCCATTGGGTTTCAGTAAATTCTGGGGGAGAGAACTTCATCCACAAAATGGCTCCATAGAAAGACCAAAAGGCAGAGAATCAGGGGACCTGGGCTCAGCACCCAGCTCTAGCACTTAACTCATTGCATGCTCCTGTCTAGACCTTAATATCCTCATCTGCAAATCATGGGGAGAGGTGCTATCATCCCTACCTTTTCAAGGAACAAAGGGCTCTTTGTAATGTCAAATTCTTCAGGACCCCAACATGTGAGTCATTTTATTATTAATATCAATTTGTTGGTTAAAAAAAATCAACATTTATTAAGCACTTCTTATGTGCCAGATACTGTTCTAAGAGCTGGAAATACAAGAAGAGGCAGACTATAGGAGGCCAAACAGCTGTGGATCCAGCAACATTTAACTTCGAAGGATGTCGTGAACTTCCTAAGATTCTCAGTTTAGAGGGGAGCCAACCTGCTTTGGTAGGGGGAATTTCCTACCCTGGGCAGTTTCCTATCGATAATACCACAGGTCCAATCCCCATCCTTATACTGGTTTCAATCTCTTCTGGTCACAAAACTCCTACAATTCTCAGTAACAAACCCCCAAAACTAGTGGTGTTGTGGCACATACATTATCACCAGCAAATTTTAACTGGTTAGTTCCCTGGTGTGAGATCTGTCAAACTGGGTATTCGGGAGCATATACAAAAGAAAAGCTTTAAATGTTTCTTTTCAGCTAAATGATGAGCTCACTGAGGGCAGGGCCTGATTTCCCTTCTGTCTCTATATCTCTGGTGCCTAGCACAGTGACTGGCAGAGAATAGATGCTTTATAAATGCTTGGTGGCTCCTCTTCCCACCAGAGAGGAAAGTATTAAACTAACCCACACTGGAAGTCCGTCCTATGTTGGAGACATCCAGAGAGTGCAGATGGTTTCCCAAATTCCCATTGTATCACAGTCTCCTCCCCTAAATGGATGCAACAATAGCTTAATCATAGCAGATAGATGGAGTCTTACTGGCTTTTGTCAAATGTGGACAAATGTCTTAGGGGAAAAGTCTCCAGGTGTGGAGGGGAAGAAGGACTAGAAACTGTTTGCTGAGTCTGTGCATTCTTCCAAAGGGTAATAATGTGGTGGGAAGTCCATTGGGTCTGAGGTCAGAGGACCTGAGCTTGAATCCTAACTCTGTCACTACTTGGGTTATTTAATCCAAGTGGCTTCTTGTCTCTGAACCTCAGTTTTCTCATCTGTAAAATGGGAGTGTGAGGTCCCTTCTAGTTCAAAATCCATGCTCTGTATCCAAAACCTTATTTTTAAAAGAAGAATTTCCTATATTCTCCCTATGATGCCGTCTCATGTTATGTTTGCCTGGATGCAAAATTAAGGGAGGAAATTTAGGTATTTCAGGCCCACATCGATCACTCCAGCTGCTCGAGGCCTTTGACCTCAGTTGATTGCATCCTTGGTTGGGATTTTTTTACCATCTTGTTGGGTTTTGACTTTTTGCCTGAATGATAGTTTCATGTCTGGTCTTCATTGTATTACTTTAAACTGAGTTTTAGGCAATGTCTACACTACTACATGGTCCAATTTTGTCTGGTTACTGACTAGTCAATAAAATGAATCCATTGGCTTTCTCAAGAATTGGCCTCACTGTCAGTAAAAGTCCTGCCCAGCCTCCCAAAGTCAATCAACAATTATGTATTAAATATAGCATGCCAAGAGCTACTAAGCACTTCAGTTACAAATTAAAAATAAAAAGACCCCTTGCCTTCAAAGAGTTTATATTCTAATAAAGAAGATTAGACAGATAAAGACAGAGACACAGAGACTGAGAGACAGAAGGAGAGACAGAGAGAGACAGACTGGAGACAGGGGGTAGAGAAAGAGGGAGACACAGCCTACGAGCCCCAGAGGTAGAAGGAGTTATAGAAGAGCTGAGGAAAGGAGAGGGGCAGTGCTGGCTGTTTCCCTGAATGCTGGCCCAGAATTGCGACTCTCCTTTGGGTTCCAGTGACTCAGTCTTTCAAATGTATTTATTGACTGCTTTGGTGTTCATAGGTGTCCATTTTTTCGCTTAGATGTGACTTTCAAAACCAACAAGGAAACCAACCCTGAGCGCCCCTTATGCCAGGTAGCTGCTTGTAATGAAAACATACATAAGAATTCCCAGACAGGTTGTTTTTAATGCATATCATTTGTCACTTCAATGAACTGGCTGATGAAAAGGTCATGAGAAACTTCCTAACAAACAGAAATTTAGTAGAAAATCGTGTTTGGTTGAAGTTGGTCAAGGGCAACGATTCTGCCAGACCATTCTCGGTAAATGAATGGCTTCAGAATCAGATTTGATTTTAATATTTTTAATCCGATTTGTACCAGGACAATTTCTTCCATTTGTCATTTGACTTTCATTCTTGTCACTCTGTTCTTCTCTGCTTCCCAAGAATAGAGACACAAAATTCCACATGAGCACCCAGCACACAGGAAGGCATAATGGGAAGGATGCCAGGTTTGCTATCAGAGGACCCAGGTTCAAATCCTGACTCTTGTCACTTCTGTGACAAATTGCTTCACTTGTCTGGGCCTTGGTTTCCTTGTCTATAAAATAAATGGGTTGGGTTACTAGGATTCTAATTTTTTTTGATTCATGGAGCCCTTTGGCAACCTAGTGAAGCCTTTGGACCCCTTCTCAAAATTATGTTGTTAAATGCCTGAAATGTATAGGATTACAGAGGAAAGCAACAGTGTTGAAATAGACTTATGTTACAAAACAAGTTCACGGTGGACTCCTGTTCTAGATGAATGTTAAGCTTCTCTCACCTCCAAAGCCCTTGACTGCAAGTGACTCAGACAGTTTGGTGGAGTATACTGGCCAAATAACGAAGGATCACTCCAGTGAAGGAAGCATGCTCCAACATTTTCCCAATGAAATGTCAGCTTCAGTGCCACTCAGCACCCAAGCAGTGACAATGTAACAAGGCAATGAATATTTGTTAATTTGATTTTATTGTTAAATTAGGTTGGTAGGTTAATTTTTAAGAAAAAAAAGTCATTTAGTGATCATTAAGACTGAGAGAAGGTACCCATAGGTTTGCTCCCTGCAAGACTTCCAAGAGTGATTTGATCAGGGATTGTGGGCACAAAGACTGAACAATCCCTGCATTCCACGGGAGCTATGTACACAGAGGAGTCGATGCAAGGGACATAGAACACTATGCAAAATCGCTTCAAAGAGAAGATTCATTGTGTCAGTATCATGGAGCCCACATTAACTGAACCAGAGGCAGTGACTTTCCATTCAAGAAATCAATTGTCTTAATTGCCGAGTCCAGTCCTTGAAGGAAGGCACCCAGGCATGGTGTCCTAGCATCTAGCAGAAATTCTGTTTACCCAGGATACAAGCGATCTGTTGTTCTGGCTGGGCTAAGTGATCTCCAAACCCTTTTCCAACCCTATGCATAGCACAGTGCCTAGCACATAGTAGGCACTTAATAAATGTTTATTGATTGGCTGACTCTGCCATTCCCTGAATAAATGAAGTTTCTTTGGTCCAAGCAATCAGACCATCCATGCGTACAACTAATAACACAAGGTCCCTGAATAAGATACCAATTTGTCTGTGATAAAATATTTCCTGCTTGGCACATCAGTACCACCATGTGTCAAAACCCAACAATGGAACTGAGTACAATGAATGAATGAATGAGAACAGAAAGAACACATTATCTGATAAGAATCTTGCCAGAATCCTGTGGTTTTCTCTGGATGGATGTCTTTCTGTTGGCATAAATATATGTGTGTAGCTAACTAAATGGAATTTTTTCTGGTTTTCCCCCTTTTTCTAGTTTTCAATAGAAGTCACCCTTCAGATTCCTGTGAGAAAACTGAAGTCAAGGATAAAGGTAAGCTTCACATTAGCTTGTTTTCTAGGCCAACAGGAGTTTTTATCACCGTCAACTCAACTTTTTACTCCTGGTGATTGGGGGAGGAATGGAAGCTTCCTGGGTCCAGAACAAGACACCCACTATGGCAGGGAAATGAGGATGGCTGGCTTGTCTGTGTAAGGGCACATCCTCCTTGGCATAATCTGACTGTACAAGACCTGATATCTAGGGGGCCAGAAAGCTTGGAAGTTTTTGACTGGTGGGAGCCTGGGAAGCAGCTGGCCCAGGAAGGAAAAAGTCCTAGACCTCTGCCTGAGAATCACCCAAGGTCCTGGTCAAGCCCGGGGCAACAAGACTGAATTAAAGACCTTGTTTCCCAGGTGCAGCGCTGACTAGGAGCATGTGAATATGGCTGAGTCACTGAAGCTCTCTGGGTCTCAGCTTCTTAATGGAGAAAATGTCAGGATCATGGTCAGGAACATGTGCGTTCATGTCCTGGATGCCCACTATCTGCTTGATGCTTGGTGCTTGTCAGGTTGCTTAGATTCTCTGAGTCTCAGTTTCCCCATCTGTACAATGGGGACAAGGATACCTGGTCTCACAGGGCTGTTTTTGGGAAAGCATTTTATAAACCTTATTTGCTCTCTGTGTGACATTGATTAGGTCACCTCCTTTGCCTGGGCCTCCATTTCCTCGTAGTAAAATGGGGGAGAAGGTGAACTGTGTGATATCTCAGATCTCTTCCAGATCTAAATCTAATGAACAACATCAGGCTCTATTTGCTTTCAAGCACTCATTTACAGGGTGGTGTTGGAAGGCGTCCCCTCCCCTCCACCACTAACCAACTCTGTCACATCAGGTGAGTCACATGGAGTCACAGACCATCGGAGTGGGAAGGGATTCAGGGGTCATCCAGGCCCAAACCCTCACTTCACGGTTAAAGACACAGGCCCAGAGACAAGAAGTGACTTAGTCACACAGCAACATCGCAGAATGAAAGTTTCCACAGAAACTCAGGCTGAGGCTCAACAAAAGCGTTTGGCCAGTGTGGGCTGTCTCTGGGGGTGGGAGGGCCTTGCTTAGCTCTTGGAGGGTCAGACTGCAAGTGTCCGATCTAGGCCCGATGGATGCTGGTAACGGTAACAATGCCTACCATTGGTACTGTACTTCTAACTTCCCAATGGGTTTTCAGAGCTTTCGTCTGGATTGGTCCTCACAATAGTCCCATCTGGGCAACAAGACAGCCCCAGAGGAGAGATGAGGGGGACGTCTGCCAAAGCCCTGTCAGGTTCAGCAGCTGGGGGTGGTCCCCAGCTCCTCACCTGATGGGACCATCACTGGAAACAAAAGCTTCTCACTTGTAGCACTGTCTTCTTCACCCCAGACTTGTGGTTTCTAACTCAAATAGAAACAGGGGGCTACTCACCCACACCTAAGGATTTCATCTTGACTCAGTTTTAAGATGTAACATTATCTCAGTTTTACCGAATTTTTATTTGCTTTGTTAAATATTTCCCAATTACATTTTAAACTGATTTGTTTAGGAGGCACCAAGGAGTGCTGTGGGCTACAGGCCACAGGTTTGACCTCTCCACCCTAGACCATAGCATTGTGCATTTCTTTCATTCAGAAAAGAAGCCCACTCCCACACCGTGTGGTCATGCTATAAGAAATTCCATAGGATTTCAGCGGCAGTCCCTTGGAATGACATAACCCTTTGCCAACTCCGGACAGATCTGTCTTATGTGGATATATGCAACTTCCTATTGTGTCTGAAGAGAATAACTCACATTTCCATGTGCTTGGTATATTTCAGATACACAATGTGCTTTCCTTGCAATAATCCAATGAGGTGAGAAGCACAGGTATCATTATTCCTTTTTTAGAGATGCAGAAGCCAAGGTTCAGAAGAGGTGGAGCTGGCCAGCGTCATAAAGCGAGGAAGGGCCAAGCCTTTCCAAGTTTGGGGCCTTCACACTCTGGATCAGGGCCCTTTCCTGTGCCTCAGCTCCTGATTCATGGGCTCTGGCTGGTGAAAGCGTAGATTGTCTGGAGTGTTTACCCTTGAGGCCAGTGGGTTCACCTTTGCTGGGGATCTTCAGGCAAAGGCTGGATTACCTTCTGGTGGGAATGATGCAGATCAAGGTTCTTAACCACTTTTGTGTCCCGGTCTCCTTGGGCAGGCTGGTAAAACCTTTGGACCCCAGCTCAGCAGCATGTTTTTAAAAGCATAAGGTAATTAATAAATAATAGCTAACTATGTGCCAGGCATTGTGCTAAGCATTTGACAATTATTATCTCAGCCAATCCTCACAACCACTCTAGGAGGCAGGTACTACTGTTATCCCCATTTTATAGATGAGAAATTGAGATAGACAGAGGTTAAGTGACTTGCCCATGATCACACAGCTAGTAAGTATATGAGGCTGGGTTACAAGGGAAACCAATTTTATTGGAATGATGTTATCAATTAAAAAAAAAACAAACCTAAGTTCATGGCCTCTAAATTAAGAAGTCCAATATCTTATGGATCCCCTTTCAAGTATTACCCTAGGTGGCCCCTGAGACCCCTTCCATATCTGACACTAGAAATGTCTAGGAGATCTGGAAGTATGACTCCATTTAGTAATTATTTTTATTAATAATAATAATAATAATAATAGCTACCATTTATATAGTACTTTAAGGTTTATAAAATGTGATATAAATGTTTATTTTTTATTATTATGCTGTTGTATGCTTCTGAATTAGACCCAGTGAGGAAGAGAGAATCCAAGAAACACTATCCTACAGAAATGTTCTGAGTGCATATACAAGCACACAGTGGTCTAGAGTATCCTGCTTTCTCCAGTCTTCATTTTCGGTGCTGTCCCTGCCAGAGCCCAGTTTCTCTGGCTTCTGTCCCCAATGTGTTTGCTCCTATATCTCTTAAAGGACTACGCAGCACTAACCAGGCCTTCTCATTTTAGGGCTCCAGGAGTTGCATTTTGCCAACACGTCGGCTTTTTATACCTATACCATCTTACTTACAAAGAGTGCCATCTACTTCACCATCACCCTCTTCTTCCTGTACCAAAAGAGAGCGGCTGGGAGCCAAGAGACAAAGTAGGCATGCTGAGACTCCCTTCAGCTCTCAGAGAGGGGAGGGTTTGTCTGCATGCTCCATTTCGTCTTCTGCAGGAGGTGGCCAGTGCCCATATTGTTGATTCCCATTATTTCCCTTGTGCTTAGCAACGCATCTTTGTTGTAACTTGGAAAACGCAAGTTGGTTTCTTTTAATCTGTTGGACAAACAGGAAACTTTAGGTTGTAAGAAATATGTTATTTTGGGTGCTTTGCTCTAGATAGCTATGTACCTCCTTATGATAGACCTTCCCCCAATAAAAACCACTAAAGCTCTCTCCTTTCTGTGCCAGCTCTGTAAGTGTGACCTAGTCAGATGCTTCCCAGTGATGAGATGATGAAGTCCCACCTCTATGGAACACTTTCAGGTGTGTAAAGCACTTGACATACATTATTGCCTTGGAGTTTCACAATAGCCCCATGATCAAGGCCTTATGGGTCTAGTTCACCCCAATTTACAGATGAAGAAACTAAGGCTCCCAGAGCATCAATGACTCACTCACAGTCACACAGCTAGCAAGTGATGGGGGCAGAGTTTGATCTTGTCTTCCTATCTCCCAATCTACCATTCTTTCCTGTACTATGCTTCATATGAAACTGGAGCTGAGAACTGGCTGGAATGGCCTGTCACAATGAGGCTTCTTCCTCTTGCTCATCTGTATCAATCAGGGTGCCCATTCATTTGGTTCCTGATGACTTAGTCTCCTCTGGGCACTGCCAGGGGAATGAAGGAGGGGCTTTCCCTGTGGGTTTCTGAAGGTCACCCGCTAGAAAACCAGTATTGAATGAGTGAGTCATACAGTCATCAAACATTTATTAAGTGCCTACTATGTGCCAGGCATTGTGCTAAGTGCTGGGGCTATAAAGAAAGGTGGGGAAAAACCCAAACCAGGTCCTCTCCTTGAGGAGCTCACATTCCACTGGGGAAGACTGCCAAACAGGAAATAAACAGGATAAATCAGAGTTAAGACAGATCAGGAGGCTTCTCATAGAAGGTGGGACTTCAGCTGGAACTTGAATCAAAGGCAAAAGGCAGCAATGGAAGGACAGTATTCTAGAGAGGGGGCGTGGCTAGGGAAAATGCCCAGTCTAGAGATGGAATGTCGTGTATAAGGAGCAGTCAGGGGGCCACTGTCACTGGATTGCAGAATATATGGGGGAGAAGGGGCACTCCAAGTCTGGGCAAGCTGGTCTTCAGCCAGCCTGATTGCAGCATCACAAGCGACCCAAGTCCTGAAGCAGCTAATAAGAGTAAGAATAGTGAATATGCATAATCTCATTTTATCCTAGCAACCCTGGAAAGCAGGTGCTATTCTTATCATCTCTATTTTACGAATAGGAAACTGAGGCAGAAAGTGGGTGACTTGCCCAGAGTCACACTAAGTTTCTCAGGTGGGATTTGAACTGTGGTCTTCCTTCTTCCAGGTCTAGCACTCTATTCACTATGCCACCTAGCTGCTGAGCCCCACTGGTGGCTTATTTCATTGATGATTTAGGATACAGGTTCCCTCCCTCATGAATGGAGGCTGCTAGTTGAATTTTTTTAAATGCATGACAGGAAATTACAACGAGTATTGTCTTCCTTCCAAAATGGCGCCTTCTTTGGAACTGAGTCAAATGGGCTCTGCTGCCTACTATCTGTCTGACCTGGGGAAGGTCACTCTGCTTTCTCTGATTTATTATCTCTAAAATGAGCACGGGACCAGACAGCTTCCTAGACCCCTTCCAGCTCTAAAGCAGGTCTACAAAGTGAGAGAGTTAGACAAGGCAACTTCTAAGGTTCCTTCTGGCTGCAAATTGATCATATCATGATCCTATAAGTTATTTTAACTGGCTGGGCCTCAGGTTTCTCAATCGCCAAATAGGGGAGGTGCTTGGACCAATACGTCACCAATAGCTCTTCTGGCTCTGAAGTGACAAGCCCACCATACTCGTATTATTTAGTGATATGAAGTTTTAAGATGGGTGGATCATTCAATATTAAATGAAGATCTATTCATTGTTAATGTGCGCAGCATTGAGACAGAGATCCTTAGATAAAATCCAGAGCAGTTAATTAGGAGGCTGGTGCTTTCAAGATTCTGGTGGCTTGGAAATAACACACAAAGCCAAACAGACTAGAGTCAGTCATTCCCCATTCCCAGGATCCCTCTATTTTTAGGGGGAAATGCAACCTTGCCAATAGACATTTTGCTCCCAAGACATAAGAAAATCACAGGTGGAGCTGAAGTTCCTGCAGCATTGTACAGAAAGTTAAATTTCTGTACAAATTTCTGAGTCCTGAAATTGCTTTTCCTTTCACTCTCATAAGGGCATAGAAGCTTGGAGAGAATTTTCCATGGTCCATTTAAGCCAATGACTTCCTGCCAGCATCTCCACATACTTTGGGGGAAGTTGAGTCACACTCACATTGAGGTAGGGACCATGAAGTGTTGGGTATGAGCACTGTTCAGTGGCTGGGCATAGCAAATCATGGGATCACAGATTCAGAGCTGGAAGGAGCCTCAGACTTCTCAGCTGAACCCCCTTGCTTTACAGATGAGGGAACCAAGACCCAGAGGTGGGAGTGATTTGCCCCAGGTCACACAACTGCTAAGAGACAGAAGTCCTGGTTTGGTCAGCAACTAGCTCTATGACTCAGTCAGTCATGTATCTAGAGCTGGTGGAGCTCATTACTCTCATCTAGTCCATCCTTATTACACAAATGAAATTACTTCCCTTGGTCACAAGGCCAGTGATAAGGCCAGGGATTCAAGTTTTCCAGTCCTTTGACCTTAGCTTCCTTCTCTGTATGAAAGTGGACTTGATAGCTAAGGTCCTTCCCTGCCCTAACATTACATGATTACTATCCTAATGAAGGGTAAAAGAAGCAAATAGCCTTAAAGGTGGTAGAGAATGCTTGTGCTACATGTACATGCAGAAACCATCAGAAATCTTGGGGTCTAGGGTGCAAGCAAAGTGAGAACACTCTCTCTCAGGCTCTTGAGGACAAAGAGAAAAAGCCCACACTCTTCCATCTGTTACTGGCTTACTTTCCTATTAATTCTCTCTCTGGGTTCAAAGACCATCTAGTAGAGATGAATTGGAATGTCCTTGGAAAATACTTTTGAAAATTCTCATCCACACCATATTGAGCAATAATGCTTAATTAAAGCTCATGAGTGAGTGTGGGTCACATGTTCACATTCTCCTTCCCTGTCTCTAAGCTAGTCAGCCATCACGAGATTCCCACCATCACATAATTCACATGCTGGCACAATAACTTCTTTGCTGGTCTCCTTGCCACCAACAGGCTTTTAGGAACAAATATACCTGGCCCCACATTTGTAAATTTTGCAAGGCAGTAGCTAACACATTGTGGGTATTTAAGTGAGGAATCATATAGAATCTATACATTATATATTTATTATCAGGATAAGAGGAAGAAGGGAAAAGGGAAAGAGGGAAGGAGGAATCAGAAGAAAGCACTTTGGAGCAAACGACACCAAACTAGCATGGCATTCCAGAGGTATAGAAGAGCCTCCCATGGAACCCTCTAAAAGTTCCCACTTGTTCTTAAAGGGGCAGGGGGAGAATAAGCAGAGTAGAAAAGGAAAAAAAATCATTTTTTATTTCAGATTTTTAGAGCTGCTAGCTTATGTTCCCAAGGGTGCCCAGATATTCCCATCCATTTCTCATTTGCTTATTGGTGACAAATGAGCAATGAGATGGATGAACATTTTCAATGCAATAAATAGTTATTAAGTACTTGCTATGCGTCAAGCACTGTGCTAAGCACACAAATTAACAGCATTTTCTTGGGGTTGATTATAAAAGCTGGGGTAGGCGAAAGGAGAGTCAACCAGTGAGTCCCCTTTCCCACACCCCTTCCTGCCCTAAACTCTTACTGGGGTTTGGTTCAGGCTTGCGAAGGGGTGAGGGCTGCAGCAGCGGATGTGTGGATCGCGGGCTCCTAACACTTTGCTTTGTCTTTGCAGTGTGGTGGCTGGGTGGAAAATGGCTGAATCAAACGAGCCTCTTCCAGTGGGGGACGTGTGACTGAAGGAGGGGTGGGGGGGCTGTGTGACAAAAATAAGAGCAGTTAAACCACAGCCAAGCCTGCACCTTCTCGAGGGCCACAGCTAGCACAGATAAAAAGCAGCCTGTGTCAAGGGGCCGCGCACGGGGGGGGGGGGGGGGGGGGTGCGGCTGGCCTCCTCCGGCCTTGCACAATGAGCTAGCTCTCCATCGTACCTCCGAGGCATGCTAAGAACAGAAACGATGCACATAGATCAGTGGGCCCTGCAGGAAGCCTTTCCACCCTTCAATGTAACACTGTGACACGATAGAGCTTACAAGGCTCTGTGTATCCAGGGTTCGTTGAACGAATATTAAATCCACGACAATGTCCAGTCTTTTGGCTTACACTATGCATTCCAGTCTGATCCATCGTTGGGCACCAGCCCAGTGAGTTCTCTTGGATTCTGGTTTTCTTCACCTACAGCAAATGTTTATCTTAATTCATTTCAACATTCAACACATTCTATTTGCACAGAGTTAGAGGGCAGAGAGGCGGCCTCTGTCAGGACGGCCTGGGTTCAAGTGCAGCCTCTGATACATATGGGCTGGGTGACTTCGAGCAAAGCTCTTGCCCCTTCCCGTGTTCTGGGCTCCTCCGAAATGAGGAGCTACCGTGGAGGCGCTGGTCGCTAGTGGTATTGGGAGTTTCCTCCCTAAAAATGCCCCGTCTCCCGCCCCTGAGGCGCTTGTATAATCACAGAACCGAACCCTTCCCCCAGAATGTGCAAGGCCATCCTAGGACACTGAGGAGGACGCAAAGATAAAACCTCTCCAGCCAAAGAGCTCAAGTTCTACAGGCAGGAGAAAACATGTGCCAGTCAGGAAGCGCCAGGAAACAGGGCATTCGGAACTGGCAGCCGGCGAAGGAAGGGCTCCGTTCCGTGAGGAGGGGCCCGCGGGCATCCTTGGAGGAAAAGAGTGGGGAGTCGGGAGCAGGCAAGGGGGACGACGTGCAAAGGCACTGAGGAGGAAGCTGGACCGCTGAGCAGGCGGCCCCGCCTGGCCTTAATACGCCGGGGATCTGTGCCTGCCCAACTGCGGCGCCCTCCAGAATGACACCTGCCACCCCGGGGCCGGCACACCGCGGCCGCTCCCTCCTCCTCCTCCTCCTCTCCTCCTCCTCCTCCTCCTCCTCCTCCTCCTCCCCGCTCTGCTCTCCCTCCCTCCTCTCAGGCCCCACGGCCATTTAGGACCCCCCCCCCCCCCACACACACACACACTTCTCTGACAGCCACCTCGGTGGCGCTGTTCACATCTGTCACGGGGGCCGTCCACTTCAAAACTGGACTAAGTTTTTAAGATGCTGCAGTTCGTGGGCCCTGTCTCTCCCCTTCTACCTCCACCCCAATACACACATATGTGCACTCACACACACACTCACAAATACACATACCCTTCCTACACACACTTAAAAATATAAACACAGGCACTCATCACACACACTCATATATACATACATACACTCACTCATCACACGTACATACACACATTCACATATACACACACAGACTCACTCATCACACATATACCAATATTTACACATAGACACACACATACTCACATATACACACTCACACTCATCACACACATACACATATATACACACACTCACATTCATCACACACACTCACATATACAAATATATAGACTCATACACACATTACACATACATGCAGACACACGTGTGTGCGCACGCACACACACACACTCCAGGCTACGCTAACACATGCAGGCTGAGTCTACCTAAGGCTGATACCCTCTCTGCAGAGTATTCCCAGCTGACATCTGCACTCAGACAGGATGTGGCTAGTTACTGGGGCATTAACAGAATCAGGACACTGAAAACATTCTCTGACCAGCACTGACTTAGCAGCAATGACCAGCAGTGTTGATGAACCTGAATTCCCTTCGAGTTCCAAAGGAACTGTCTTTTTGTGTTGGCCTAGAAAAGGAACAAGACTGGTGACTTTTTTAACAAATGTAAATGAGTCTGAGACTTCAGACTTAGAAATTTAAATAAACAGGACCAGGAAGGCCTTGCCCCTGGAAAGGGCAGGCAATGGGGTGGACAAAGAAGAAAGAGAAAAGAGACAGAAATGGTTCTGGGGGACTCCCACTCCCCCTGCTACGTAAAGGGCAGAGGAAGGCCTGCAGAGAGCTATGCAGGGAAATTCTCAAGGGAGGGTCTGGGCAGGGATATGGCCAAGAAGAGAGGCAGAGTGGGAGCTGGTTTGGGAATCAGAAAGACCTGGGTTCAGGTCCTGCCTCTGACACATGCTGGCCATGGGACCCTGAACAAGTCACTGAACCTCTCAGACCTAAGACTACAAGTGGCAGAGAAGATGACGACGAGTATTGGCAGACCAACTGTACTCACCCGGGAGCTCTCTACTCCGGTGAAATCAGCGCTCCAGTCAGTGTCCCTGCCCTCCTTGGACAAGAGATGGCCTGGATGAAAAGGCAGTGATGGTGCTGTTGAGCACACACTGCCCAGCTCATGGGCCCACAGGAGGAAAAGGTCAGAGCCAAAGTTGGGATGTTGCCTTTTATTAACATTTTTAAACTGTACAAAGAGCTCATGTGCATGAATTAAAAAACATACAAGGACATGTTATTTTTTAAAAAAGAAATATAAAATAAATCTATGAGATAAATAAAACAATTCCATTTTGTGAGTCAGAAAAAAAATCCATGGACTTTTGTGTTACAGAAGATGTGTTAGGTTGCTATACTATGGCATCTATTGATTAGGAATACAGCACAAGACTTTCCCAGAACTCCCTACGCATGAGGAGATGGTTTCAATAGCAGACGACAGCACGGGCCGTTCTGCGCCATTGTCTCACCAGCCCCAGGCGGGCAAACATACACGTGTGTGTGTGGGAGGGGGGGGACAATCTTCTGTGAGGTATCACAATAAATAAATCCTTGATTAGCAGGTGGACACGGCTTCCCAGGGAGAGCCCGGCTATGCTGGGGGCTTTCACACTCCAAATGCGGATGGACACAGAGGATTCACAGATGGGACGGTCTGAGGAGGTCACAAGAAGTTGAGGGGTTCAACACTCATCATTCCTGTCATTTCCCACACTTTTTTGGTAAGATTTTACCCTTCCCTCAATTTCATGTTACAACAATTTTTAACATTTCTCTTAATTTTGGGGTTCCAACTTCTATCCCTCCCTTCCTCACCTCCCCCCTCCCTGAGTCAGTAAGCATCCAATACAGGTTATGCACGGGCAGTCGTTGCATACATCGCCATATCAGAACTTATCAAACAAAACACAATGGAAGAGTGAGGACATTGGAGGGGCTGGCTAAGAATGAAGCCTGTGGTCATTCTGACTTTGTAAAGTGAGCAACGTTGGAGTCAGTAACACCGACTCTGCCTCCTCCTTCTGTGTGGACTTCCAGGGGGCTCTGAAAGGGCCTGGCCTCGCCTACCTATCAGGGATACCCAGAGCAGAGCCAGGGCTTTGAAACAATGCCTGGTCTTCCATCCTGGAAATTCCCACGTCCATGATCTAATGATCGTGGCACTAGGGAACATACGAGGCAGAGAGACCAGCCCCACTTTACAGGTGGAGAGCTTGGGGCAAAAGAAAGTGAATTGCCCAAGGCATATGCTTGGCAGGCAAGCCTGGCACAGACCCCAGGATGCCATGCTTCCAATCAGCATGGCTCACTTCCCCACTGCCCCACCTGCCTCGCCACCCAAAGACTGGGCAAAAATGGAGATTCCTATGCCAGCAGATGATAGCCACGTATCAGGACACCTGATGATGATGGTTACAAATTCAGCTCCCCTCGTGTGATCAGGACCTCACAGGCTCCCATGGATTTCCACCCACCATGCTCTCCAAGCACACACACACACACACAAACATGAAGATGTTTCACTCCCTGAATATCAAGGCGATTTGCTGACTGACTAAAGGACGCATCTAGGTAGGGCTGCACTGGTCACCCCTAGGCCATCCACCCTCCCAGACAGATAATACGTGTACTTCGGGGCTCTCCATTTCATCTTCAAACACTCACTTCCATCAAAACAACTTTCGCAGCTACAGGACTGGCTTTTCACTATCCTGCTTTCCTTCAGGGTCTTCATCAGAACCTATGTGGGAGAAAAGAACAGGAAGGAAACAAGCGTTTGTAAAGTGCCTACTATGTACCGGGCATTGTGCTCTGTCCTCTACAGACATGATCTCTCTGGGTCCTCCCAACACCCCTGCGAGGCAGGTGAGAAGATTATGCCCACTTTACAGATGCAAAAACAGAGGTTTAGAAGTTGAAGTGCCTAGACAAGATGTGGTGGTTAGGACTCTGCGCGACGTCACCTTGTTCTCCATCTGCGGCAGGTTACTAACATAAGGGACCCAGTGAACGCTGTGGATATAGTTTGACTAGAGCTCGGCAAAACTTTTAAGGGAGCGTCTCATACTATGCTTACAAGGAAGAAAAGGGATGGAGAAAAGTGGGTCAGATGATAATACGATTCAGTGGATGTGGCTGGAACTAGGAACAGTCCTTAATTGTTTCATAGTAGCTCAGCCAGTCTTCAGTGGTGTGGCCCAGGGATCTGGCCTGGGCCTCAGGCTGCTTAGCATCTTCTTGAACTTGGGCCAAGGAGGAAGAGATGGTCTGGTTAGAGAGTTTACAGACGGGAGAATGCAGACATCAGTGGATGGTCAGGACCCGAGCATTGCTGGCCAGCTCCAGGCCTGGGCTTCCCAAGGAGGCAGGCAGAGCTCACTTTTTCGTTTTTTTTTTTTTAAGCATTCTGACACCTCTGCAGAGTCTTTCACTGCACCTCCTTCTCTCCTCTGAGCTGTCCTGGTCCTGGGGCAGGCCCTCTGGAGCCTTTGGGTTCCATGACTCTGTGACTTGAGGAGAATGCCAGGTAGGAAGAGCCAGAAGTGAGATGTGTGCCCGCGAGCAAGGGATGGCCGGGCTGGGGTTCTATGCACTTCACCGCACTGCCACCAACACCATCTTCGGAGAATTCAATTCTCATCAGTAACCAAGTAATCCCGGAATCCACAAAGAAAAGGCTCCGGGGACCCCTGACTCGGCCACACTCACCAAGACAGTTAGCGTCCAGACAGGGAATCAAATCTCAATCTCCTGTCTCTGAGGTCCAGAGCTCTTTCCTTTGGGCAGCCCCACCTCTGAACTAGAATCCCATTCATCAAGGTAGAGCCTTCCTAGTGTGGAAATTCCATTGCCAACGGAGAGCTATCTGCAGCATCAACCGGGTGTGACTTGCCCACGGTCACGTGGTCAGTATGTGGCAGACAGGACTTGAGGATGGAAGGGAACTATCTATTATGTGCCTTTCTCCCCCCAAGCCACATCTATGTACCAGACACCGAGCTAAGCACTTTACAAATACTGATCCTCACCACAGCCCTGGGAAGGAGGCACTACTTATGATGATCTCTGTTTTACAGATGAGGAAACCGAGGCAGACAGAGAAGTGACTTGCTCAGGGTCACACAGCTAGAAAGTGTCGAGGTCGGATTTGAGCTCACCAACATCTCTGTGGCTGGATTATAAGCTGCCCATCTCACCAGCATGCCTGTTGCCTTCAAGTGATATCAGAGGGAAGCCATGACCACCACAAAGCAATCTGGAATTAGGCCTGAAAAGTAACTCTCATGTTTATCCCTCTCACTGCCAGGCACAGAACTCAAGAAGGGCGAACACAAAAAGGAGGTTTCGCACACAGCCGGACCTGCCAGGGGCTCTCACTCATCAAGCCCAGGTAGACGCCTGCTGCCTGGAGGCTGGGTGGCCAAACAAGCCATGCGAGGGGCTATCGGGTGCCCGTGGAGGCTTCCGAAGCCTGGGCAGACTGAGATGAACGGAGAGTGAAGAAGGGTGAGGAGGACAACATTTGCAATCAGGCCAGCAGAAGGAGAAGCCGTGATCACAACAACTCTCCACGAGTGGAGATGATGGAGGCTGGGAGGCTGGGAGGCTAGGGGCAATGGGGACGGCACACTGCACACATTCAGGCGGGACACAGCCTGGGTTTGCTAAACTGCCTTCTTCTTCCTCTTTCTTTTTATTCTTTGTGACAAGGGATGGCCCATGGGGCGGTGGAGGGGGAGAGAGAAATGAGGTAAAAGCAAAAGGTAGCAATAAAAATTAAACATTTATTAAAATGTCATGGAAAAATCAAATCAAAATAGAAATCCCAGCCTTATACAGAGTGGGATACACCAGGGAAAACCAGAAGGATCTGCGTGGGCCAAGCCTTTATAATGCACATTTATTCCTGACTCCTCTCTCTCATTCTCACTTGCAGTATACACACTCGAACCGACACACACAGACGTACACATCTGTGCAGACACAGGCACATGCGTCTACATTCCTCTATGTTAACTGATGACTTGCACTGGCCCCACAGACTGCCCCCAGCAGGCAGGTTAGATGGGGCTGCATACTAGGCCGCACCCCCCAACTCCCCCCAGGGAGCTGCCTTCTCCACTGTGAGAGGGAGCCCTCCGGGAAGCCTGCTTCCCAGTTACAGTTGCTGGGGGTGGGGGGCTTTGGCCAAGAAGGAGAAAGGCTGGCTGAGAACCTGGAGCACAGTTCCGCCCCACACTTTCACCCCAGCCATGGTTTGTGCCTCAGCTCAGAAACTGTGTCTTTGATGTAAAATTAGTGGTTTAAAAAAATCCCCCCCAGCACTCAACGAGCAGGAAGTTTTGCTTCTCGGCAGTCTGATCACAAATCATACACGATCTCTGGTGTGGTTTAGCTGCTTTCTTCTCTGGACGCTGGCTTTTAAGGTGACACCACCAGTCCCTCAGGCTCATTCGGCACCCAGAGCCTCATCTGGCTTTTGACAAGCGCCCTTAAGCTGGCGCCATTCTGAAGCCTTTCTGCTCTCTCCACAATGTGGCCAGGTGGGTCTCAGCTGAAGGAGAACGGTCCCCTCCCCCTACCGTGGCCCAACTCCAAGGCCGCCCCCCCAGTGCTCGAGCTCACTCAGGCGGGTCTGCACCAAGAGGCACAAAGACTTCTGTGCCAGCTTTGGCTTTCCCAGGACCAGCCCAGCTCAGCACAGGGAGGCTCAACACAGAGAGGCCGGTGGGGAAATGGCGAATTCACGTTTCCATGGCAGAGGGAAGGAGGAGCCATGGCAACGGAGGGACTAAAGCCATGCACCGGGCCATTAGCTGGTGTCTCACAGCTCTCAGACCACTTCACATTACACCCCCAACTCTGATCTGTATCCATGCAGTCTTGGGTAATGACTAAGGCAACGTTTCTTCACCCATACCATGGGTCTCTCAAGAGAGAAATCTTCACACAATTTCTGCAACCCAGTGCCAAAGGTCTGTTCACCTTTTCCCACCGAACAGAATGATCAAACACCCCCACATCACACCTCCAAATGAAGATGGCCACACACACAACCATAAGCAACACGCCACTGTGGATAACAGGGTGCTGGACTTGTAATCAGCAAGACCTGGGCTCTGATCCTGCCTTAGACACTCATTAGCTGGGTGACTCTGGCACGTTATCCACCCCCCGCCCCGCGGCTCTACCTCTACTTCAGTGTTCAAGGTCTGGGATCATGTCAGCTAAGGTCGTTCCCTCCACCACCTGCCAATCTCTCCACATCACGTGGAGGCATCAGAAAAGGCATCTGCAGCTTTGTGAAAAATCAAGTTCCCTTTCTAACAGTGCCACCTCCTGGGCTTGGGTCTGCTTCACCTCCCCAGGACTGTCTTGAATCAGTCCCTTGGGGGGCAGGGGAGGGCACCTGAAGTTTATGTGTGTGTGTGTATGTGTGTGTATGTGTGTACATGTGTGTACATATGTGTATATGTGTGTTATATGTATGTGTGTGTCTCTGTGTGCATGTGCACGCACGCGCGCACACACACACACACACAAGCTACAGCCTTTCTGGATGTGCAAAGGAGACCATCCAATTCCTTTTGATTCTGGGGAACATTTACATTCCAATGTGTTTCCTGGACTGGAAACTCAAGATGTGGTGAGGCCAAAGAAATGTGGGACATACTGGCCTGGCCCCACCTCCCCTCCCCACACCCCGCCAGGCTGCCAGGCTACAGTGCCACCGATGCTCCCCAGATCCACCAGGTGGCACCATGAGCACAGCGGAGCCAGCCCAAGGGCTCCCCAAGGCCAGGCTGAATCCTACCGTTTCTCCCTTCTGGGGCAGTGCCCTGGAACTCTGGGATCGGGCCCAGCAGAGGCACCAAGAGTCTGTGTGGGTGCAGACCAGGCTCCTTGCTTCCTCTGGGGGCCACAGAACAGCAGCAGGAGGGCAGAAGGCCCAAGCCAGGGAGCTTTCCACTACACAGGGGAGCCCAAGGCACGCCCAAAGCCCTTTACCTGCTTCCGACTCAGGCGGAGAATAAAACTGCCCATCCGAGAGACCCCCAGGCGGCTGGATGAGGGCCGCCCTCTCTGAAGCGTCCTGAACCAGCAGAAGTCCTGGAAGAGAAGGGATGGAGAGCCCAGGCATCAGTCTGCCACAGTGGGACAGAGGGCCCGCCACTTAAAAATGCTTGTCGACCACACGTGTGGCGGTGAAGGGGAGACTGTGGAAAGCTCCGGAAGGCCACGACTAGCAATGCCCCTCTTCCCACCCTCAACCCCAATTGGGGACGCAAGGCAGGTACCAGGGTCCCACTGGACTTTTCCACCCCTCAGTCCCTTGACAATGTCCTGTCCCCTTCAACAAACAAATGGCTCATAGCAGCAGATGAAAGACACATAGCGTGCCTGAAAGAGAAGGCATTTGAAGCAGCTACACCTGGTACCTCGATGGTGCCATCAAAATGATGACAGCATCTGCCTGGAGCTCACGGTGATGCTCCGGCTCTTTGGGAGCCTTGGAAACACCCCCGGCACCAGGAAGGGTATCGCTAAGTGCCAGGCTAACCGCTCTCCGCCGACGGCCTGTCCTCATCTGGTCAGCTATGTGCTCTGATGTCCAGGGCGTGCCGAGCACTCTGATTCTCTGTTTCTCTGACTCTCGGCCACAGTCTTGTTCCTCCTGGCCTCTCCCTCATCTGACTGGCTGAAAACAAACTGCTGAGGTGTGTCCAGACTGACTCATGGACCGGACCGACAGAACAGCCACAGGAATGAGGTGTGCCCAATGCGTGGCTTCTTTTCCAATGGATTCACTCATATGCTAAGGCTTTCCTTATATTTTAATTCCATTCTCTTAGTTTAAAATTCCCTGAAAATGGGTACAGAGAAACAAAGCTGCGTGCAAAGACTTCCCTAGGAATCCGCCCTCCCATTTTTTCCGTATGTTATAGAAACATTTAGCTCTGGGCTGGATCAGAGAATATGTAAACCCAAGAAGTGCTTCTAATAATTAGTGCCTGTACTTTTATGTGCCTAGGCCCTGGGCAGGGTGATTTGCAGGTCCCAGGCACTTCATAAGCACTTAATGAGAGCTGACCCAAGAGGAGACCAAAGGATACCAGACAGGTAGAAATGGCACGCCTTCCTACTGCCTGGGACATGCTAGTTTTGGACTATGGGGCAAGAGTGAGCAGGGAAAAGGACGTCTAAAGTTTACATGAATGACGTCAGGAAGAACAGTTCAATATCTAATCTTTGGTTCCATGAATCATTTGGGCTTCCACTCAAAGCCATGACCTGCAAAGACAGCCACAAGGCCAATGGGTCAAAGAACGGTGGCTGTGATGTGACTCGTGACTCTGATACACACCAGGCCTCAGGCACGAGGGACCTCATGACCTTGTGGTCCCCCTCTAAGTTCTGAAAGGTACTGTTCTTGTGTCAGTCAGGCTCAGTCCCCTTCCCTCTAGACTCTGCTCTCAGGGCACAACCAGCAAGATCCGGGTCACACAGAAAAGGAGCCCAGACACAGGAGCAGGGCTGCCTGCAGGCCATTCCAAAGCCACCAGTTCTAAAACAGCCCTGAGATGCCAGAGAAGGGACAGAAGACAGACTGGGAGCCCAACGGGCCAGGTTCCAGTTCTGGGCCCAAGAGGCCTATGAAAGGGAATGTTGGGTATGACTAGTGCACCCTTGTGAGCAGTTATTATCAGTTTGGTCCTGCTGGCATCGGGGGTCACAGGTTACAGAAAGAGAGGTCTCTTTGTCAGAAGGATCAGGAGTAACATTCACTTTCCTCCAGAGCTGCTCTTTCTACTGCATCTTACCCCAAAACGGATTTTACTTTATTTTCTCTGATTTATCATCAATCACCAAGTAGTATTTATTAAGCACCTACAATATGCTGGCACTATCCTGGGGGCTGGGGATACAAAGAGAAATGTGGACGGGGCCCTGCCCTCAGGGAGCTTACTACCCGGGCAGGGGCAGAATGTACCTAGGCAGGTAGAGAGAAAACACACAAAAGAGACAAGATCATTTTGTGAGGAGGCTCCAGCAGCAGAGAATCTTGATGGAGGAGGCAGTACCTGAAGGAAGCCCTGAAGGAAAACAGGGATGTTAAGAGGGGGGAGGTGAGAAGGAAGTACATTTGTCACAGGAGTGGCCTGGGATGGGAGATGGGGCCTCATGGATGAGGAAGAAGGGCAGTCTGCAGGACACTGGGTATACGCAGGGGGATCATGGGGATAAGGCTGGAAGGGTAGGCCAAGGCCAGATCATGAAGGGCTTTAAATGCCAAAAAGGCATTTATAGAAAAATTCCCCAACGTGACAGTTTTGTATATAAACACAAAAACTTTATTAGTTAATGCATTTTTCAAACCAATTTGGCCTTACTCTAAGAAGTCCTTAGATAGAAAAGTAAAGACAATGAAATTCAATATACTGACATAGTCACCTGAAATTGTACCTCATTTTGAAAAAGAATCCTGCTTTCCCAACTGCACTTGGAGGTCTTGGGCCTAAAGCACAATAACTCTTTGAAAATAGAAGGATAAACACAACCCCACCTTGGGCCCCCCTCTGCAGGATCCGCAGACAACAGGATCAGGGAAGCTCCCAGGCCCTCTGGGCCTCGCTAACCTCTGGCCTTCCCTGCTGCAGTCCAGACAGGCTCCGCACTGGCTCCACCACGCTGAGATCTTCAACAAAGACTTCGGCCCACCTGGTATGCTCCCCTGACCCCAGGATAGCAAACTGCAACCTCCTGTTTTCCACCCAAGGGGGGAACCTGCGGCCTCGAAGCTACGTGTGGCCCTCTAGGTCCTCAAGTGCAGCCCTTTGACTGAATCCAAACTTCACAGAACAAATCCCCTTCATAAGAGGATTTTAGGTCAAACCTAACTCCTCCAAGTGTCTGCTGGGTGAAAAGCCCCTCGGGTCTGCCTCCTTCCCAGGTCACTGTCCTATCGCTCTCCTCCTCATGACGCACTTTCGGCTCCCAGCACTCAGGCTTTTGTCCACGCCACCTCCCGCCCCGGCCTGCCCTTCCTCTCTGTGACTTCCCCCCCTCCCAACCGCTCTCCTCTCCCAGCCTTTGTGCCCTTCCCTTCACAAATGAACCCAACTCAGCCCCTCCAACGGCTTGGTCCTCGCCGCTCTGCTGCCCCTGGCCAGCTAATCTTGGCCTTTGCCTCCACCATGCCGGCCTTCCCTCTAACTGTTCTGCAGCTGCTGACCCTGCTGGAGGAAACTGTGAAGTGCCGCTGCCCGGACCTCTCCTGACTCTTGGATCCTTCGCAGTGCCCAGCCACCCTCTGCTCCATGTCTGATGGACTCACAATCCTGGGCCCCAAAGGGCTGCTCCCAAGCCAACCCCCCTGGCCCTCAGTCTATCTCTGAGGAAATTCACAATGGGGGGCCTCACTCTCCTCAGTAAAGTAGAGGGATAGCACCTTCTCTGTCCCCGTCCCTCTTCTCCTTCCTTAGAGGCTAACCTATCCACTTCTGACCTCAGCCCCACCTGCTCCCATCTACCCCAGGGTGTGGCTCCATCCATCAGCCACCCCCTCCCTGGCCCCCTTTGTGTATCTTCAATATTTCCCTCTCCACAGGCTCCTTTCTCTCTGTCTACAGATACACACAGGTCTCCAACATCCTTAAAACAACAAGAAGCCACCTCCTCAAACCATCAGTTTGTAAGAACTTAGGGATCAGAGAAGTCACCTCAGTGTCCTCACTGCCTTCACCCCATGGCCTCACCATGTGGCTTCTGTCTCCCCTCTGCTCTCCAAAGCCAAAGTCCCCTTAACAGGCAATTCCAATGGCGTTTTCTCCGTCCGTCCTCGCACTGGACACCACTGACTGCCCCAGGCGCCCTCCTCCCTTGGTGCCTATGGCTTCTAATTCTCCTGGTGAAGGCCATGAGGAGCAGCAGTGGAGGGACTGCTGGACCTCGTGCCGGGAAGACCTGACTTGAATGAGACCATGTGACCCTGGGCAAGTCATTTTAGCCTCTCTCTCGGCCTCAGTTTCCTCAGTTGTAAAAGGCAGACAAGAATGGCACTTACATCCCCAGGCTGTTGTGAGGATCAAATCAGATAACAAAACAATACTCAGCAACTCCTGGCCATTGTCCTCCTCTTCTGGCCTGACTGAGGAGTCCTCTTCTGAACCTGTCACTGGCCCTTTGTCTATTGTCAAGGTCGGGTGTCCCACAGGGCACTTTTGTCAGCTCCTTTCTCTCTGACCACCTCACCTGGGTCTTCCAGGTCATGCCACCAACAGGATGGAGGACGACATATCTGACCCAGTCCCTACCACCTCTCAAACCTCTCCAAAATAAGCATTAGAGGCAACGAGGAAAGTGACCATAGATGTGGCCTTCCCCTGCTCTCTGCCCCAGTCCCCCCTCTGAGGAGGAGGAGGAGGAGGTATAGGCTGGCAGGGAGTCCTCGGCCACAGCCTAAAGAAAAGGGGCTTTTTTTTTTAAGTAGCCAAGGAGATAAAGGTAACAGAGGGACAAAAATGGAACAATGAGACTGAAACTCCTGAGATTAATTTGCTGCCACATGGCTCCAGGAGTGTGACCAAACTGTGGAATTGGGGAAAGGAGAGGAAGAAGGTGGAGGGGAAGGCATGATGTGCCCTCATCAAGGCAATGATAAACAATGAAGGGGAAATAACTCCCAAATAACTTCCATAATCTCCCTACAAAAGAATGGATGAGAGGAAAGAAAGAGGGAAATCTCTCCACTGGTGGAAAGGGAGCCCACTGAAGACTGCTACCCATCTGGGCAGAGAGATGTTCTAGGATGGGAGACAGGGTCCTAGAAGGGGAAAAAAGGGACCTCATGGGCCCCACCTGCAGAGTTTCGGGGCCTAGAGACACTGCCATCTTTGAGAGACTGGTGCCTCCATGGACAGCCTCCACCTCAGAAGAGGCACCAGAGCTCCTCGGGGCAAGTGACGTCCCAAAGGGTGGGAGTGCGTGGACCCAGAGAGCAGATTTCATGGCAAATGAGAAAACATGACCACTGAGGGCAGGCGGTAGAGATGAATGGCAGAACTGAGGAACCGTGAACATTTCTACCATAGGGCAGAAAACACTTCTATCCTCTTTATCTCCTCTAGGAACTGACGTCTCTAAGAGGCACAACAGAGAAAAAAGGAGGAAAGGGCAAGATCTGCAAAGAAAGAACAGAGAGGGAACTCTAGATAAGAACCTTAGAGCTTTAATTCCTTAGGGAACACAGAGCCTGAAGAAGGTTTAAGATAAAGCTCAGGGCTGTAAATAAAAGTCAAGGATAGACAGAAAGGGAAGAAAACTTTAAAAAAAGAAAAACCAAGAAAAAGAAATCCTGTTTAGAAAAGGGGGCAGAGAACTTTAAAATACAACAACAAACAAGACAAGCAGAAAGGCAGAAGAGGAAGGGGGCTTTTAATTGGCTGCGGAGCTGAGAGAAAAAGCAGGGGAGGAAGTAGAGAGCTGGACAAAAGGCAATGAACAGCTAAACAGAACTAGGAAGTGGAGAGGGGCAGGGGCTGGTGGGGAGAAGCCCCTTAGAAGAGATGAAGCAAAAGGAACTGAAGAAATGAAGTCCTGCCTTTAGAGAGAAGGAGGAACCAGGAGACAGAAAGTCCTGATTCAGAAAAACAAAAATGAGATAAGTCACAAATGGAAGGAAACACAAGCCTGACGCTTAAAAGTGGAGATGGGAGCAGATGAGACAATGCCTCTGCGCAAATGGTCTCTCCCCAGCCTCTGTGTCTGTCTGTCTACCCACCTCCCCGGACGTCCTGTGGGCAGCTCGGAGGGGACGCAGCGCCTCACCTTCCCCACCGCACCCTCTCCTCTCAGCCCAAACTCCATCAATGGCACCACCATCATGCTGCTCACCAGGCTTGAATGACCCAGTCACCTCTGCCTCTTCCCTTCTCCCAACATCCGGTCAATCGCCAGTCTTGCTGATTCTCTCTCCACAGCATCCTTGAATCCATCCCCTCCCCTCATGGGGCCACTCCTCCATGCCAGGCCTTCCTGTCCTCCCCACTCCCAGCTTCCAAAGAGCTGCCCTACCCCTGTGACGCCCCCTGCTCAACTCCTCACTGCCTACTGGGTAAAACACACCCTCTCTGGCCCAGCATTCAGGGCTTTCCACAGTGGGGTTCCAACTTATCTTTCCAGCCTATCTCATAAGACGTCTCTCCCAACCTAAGTTCCAGCCCCAGTGCACAGCCGGATCTTCTGTGTGCTCACCCTATTCTACCTAACAGATAAGCACTTAGGACATAGTGCGTTAAGGTCCTTACCTAAACCCTGGAAGTGAGGTACTCACATTAGCCCCATTTTGCAGAAGACAAAAATGAGGCAGGCAGAGGTTAAGTGACTTGCCTAAGGTCATCTGGTAAATCAGAATCCAGTACACCATTCCAACCCCTTACATACAATCTACTCCACCCATGCCAAAAACACTCTGGCCTCCTCTCAGCCCTGGGAAATCCTTCTCTTTCATCAGGGCCCTGTGAAAGTGCCTCCTCCTCCATCAACCTTCTCCTCCCTCCCAGAAGACCTCTGCTCCGTCTTCATTACACTCTGTAGCTTATGTATTTAGGGGGGAGGGGTGTATCGTAACCCCGCATTAGCCTGCTATTGTTCCTTCCGGTCCCCTGCCCTTCACACTACGTTAGCCTGGCGCAGGGCAAATACTCCGTGAGCATCTGTGAACTGAAGCAGGCTCCTATCTGACCCCAGAGCAAGTCCTATCTTATACTTCCCCTATGCAGTTCTCATATTCGTGTGTGTGTGTGTGTGTGTGTGTGTGTGTGTGTGTGTGTGTGTAACATCAAAACCCCACAATCCTAGATTTCATTAAAATTATATTTTAATATCATTTTTATTATAAATCTATTAAGTTAAATTAAAATTAATTTATTTTCTTATGTTACTTATCATTTGCTATTTATTTTTATGTTATATAATATCTAATTGATTAAATTGGTGCCTTAGTTATTAACGAATGATCTATCATATAAAAAACATCATAAATTTATTTCTCTAATGTCTATCACATTTTATATATACATATATATATATATATATATGGATGCACGTCCTGTCATTCCTACTGTGTGACGAGCTCTGAGAATGCGGGGGCCACGCTTTATCGATCTTGGCACATCCTGGAGCACCTGGCACAGGGCTCTTCCCTTTGAAGGCACAGGATGGCCAAATGAACTGATGAACGTGAGCCACGTTCCTGCAAAGCAGATGTGCCCCCCCCGCAGCCTCCCTGGCACCTTCCTGGGGCTCGGGCAGCACAGGGCCCTCCCCACACACAAACCAACCCCTAGAGCTGTGAAAGGTAAGCTTACTGTTGTCTTCCTCTGCTTCTTGAGGCAACACTTTGAAATCCAGGAACCAGGTTTCGATCCACGCCAGGATGAATGAAATGATGGGCAGCACATATCCAAAAGCCCCCTGAGAGAAGAGCTGGAAAACGAAGGAGGAGGGCAGGGTTGACCTTTGGTGGTCAGCTGCTGGAGCCTTCGGGGAGATGCGCCTGGGGAGGGAAGGGGGCTCTTACCTTGGACAGGATGACTTTGACTAATAAGAAGGCACTCGTCACAGCTGTTGTCAACTGCAAAACAAAGAGTCGAGTTCAGGGCAGATGCCTGAAACCATGAATTCTGACAATAGTCTTGTCACAGGCCCAAGTTCTGCGAGAGGGGAGATGCCCACCACGGCCACTCCAGCTCCACAGAGAGGGAAGAGAGGCCCCCACGGGGCCCCCGGGCCAGACTGGAGCCCCCCGGGCCTGTTCCTCTCACTCGCTAGGCATCCACGTGCGTGCTGGGAAGTGACGCCCTGATCGTGTCTGGGTCCCCAGACACAAAATCCAACCCTCCCACCACCTGGGGAGTCAGAGAACTGTTGCTGCATGGGGGGAGGAGAGCAGGCCACAGAGCCAGCCCAGGGAAGGGCCCGACCCCTCTCCACTCTCATTCTCGTCAACTATTTGAATATGGGCAAAGGTGGGTGAAGGCCCATCAGAGTGCCCCTTATTCACGTGACTTACCCTGAACAGTGAGTGTGCAGCTCCACCCACAAGGACAGCCACTACCCTGAGTGTTGTCCACTCTCTGGACGCCCCTCCCAGGCCCTGTCCACCTGCAGACGCTGCCCCCCCTTCCTCTCTGGCTTTCTTGAGTCTCCCCACAAGAAGGAGAAGACAGACCATCTTGTTTTCTTGTATTTGAACCCCTAGCGTACAGTAAGGGCTTAATAACTGCTCGATCTCTCTATTTCTCTACCAAACCAAAGAATTCAGATGGATGACATTATAGAGATCCCCTAAACCAATCGTTTTGTTTTACAGCTGGGGAAACTGATGACCAGGGAGGTAAAGTCACTTACTGAGGGTCAGGACCACAGGATCCTAGATCAGAGCTAGAAGGGCGGCTGGCGGTCACCGACGGCAGAGGGGACCAAGCGCCCAACTTGGATTCCAGAAGACCCACGTTCAAATCCTGCCTCAGATGCTGGCTAGTCCTGTGACCATGAGCAAGTCATTCACCTGAGCCTCAATTCTCTCATCTGTAAAGTGGGGGCAGCGACGGGCCCCGCTTTCCAAAGTTGCTGTGAGTGAGGTCCTCCAAAGGCCCTCCCTGTGGGTCAGCTCCCCACACTCGGCCCAGAGGCTGGAGCTGTGCCAGGACTCCAGACGGCACTGCAGCTGCTCGGTGGGCATGTGGGAAAGGGGCTGTCAGCTCCAAGGGCACGTTTCTGACACAGCGTCCTCCGCCCCGGGAAGGCAATTGCGCCTTCCTCCCCCTGCTACGGCCACAGCGGCCTGCCTGGGCCCCTGCCCCCCCCGTCCTTCATCCTCGTCCTCAAAGCCCCATAAGAGACTAAAAGCTCTCTGAGGGCAAGGCTTTGATCATACCTACTTTTGTACATGCAATTCTTTGCTCCTAGCAGCCACTGGGTAAGTATTTGTTGAATGAATACCGGAGAGCTAAGCCCGGACTCAGGAATCTGGGTTAGCGGTGATGCGGCTTGCCCATGGCCACCACCACAGAGGGTCTAGGGAAGGATTCTGAGCGTCTATTTTATCATCTGTAAGAATGGCATGGTAAGAGCATGTGACCGCCTTACAGGGTGGCTGTGAGGGCTGAATGAGACAGCATCTGCAGAGCACTCTGCTGGTCTTAAAGGTCAGGAGCCCACGCAGAGCTGAGCTGCCACCGTGTGCCGCCTGCTAGGGACGGCTGCTGACGTCAAGCACACGGCATTTACGTGCCCGGCACTGTGCTGAGGGCAGAGAGGCCGCAGACACGATGGACCGGGGCTGGGCTCAGGGGAAAGAAGGGGGAACGTTGGCTGGGAGCTGAAGGAAGCCGGGGAAGGCAGGAGGGAGAGATGGGGAGGAGAACATCCCAGGCGCAGGCGTGTGCGCGTAACCCCGGAATGAGAGCATCTCACAAGACAGAAGGCAGTAACCCAAAAGCCAAGAGACAGATGCAGCGAGGGCCCAAAGAGGACCGGTGTTTAGGGAGGGAGATCCCCTGCTCCGTGCCTGTCAATGACACTCTCAGCGATCCAGTCCCTGGATCAGCCCAATCCTACCCCCCAAAGCAGCACTGCGGGGGTAGATGTGACCACAGACACCCAGGGTTTTCCTAGGAAAGTGACAGCATCACTCTCATTCACAGCAAGGAAAGTCCCTGCCCACAGGCATTACGCTTCCTCCCGGCTAGGCCAACACAAACAGCAGGAGGTACAGAGCTGTCCACGGCTGGGTCCAGGAGCGCTAAAGGCCCAGGGCCTCATAGCAGTTTCTTCCTCAGATGAGACACCAATTGGGATAAGCCTAGCCCCAAGAGAGCCTCAGAAATACACCAAGAAATAAATGGAAAATAAAGAGATGGGAAGATGTCACAGAAGAATGTTAATGATGATAACAGCAAATATTTATATGTCACTAACCGTGTGCCCAGAACTCTGCCTTACAAAGATGATCTCACTGAAGGCTTAGAAAGGACCAGGGCATCTCCTTTTATAGAGGAGAAATTGAGGTCCAGAATAGTTTACCTGCCCACAGGCCTGGAGCCAATTTGTTTTCCCTTTCATAAATTCAAGATTCCCCTTTCTCTTCCCTGTATTTATTACACGTAAAGCTGCTGCCCCAAGAGGAGGTGGGTCGACCAAATCCAAGCCTTCAGTTCCTCCTCTCATTTTTTCTCATTTCCCTCACCTCTCGATTTAGGTAACCAGCTGCAAGTCGAAGCAGTTCTAACCCCGGGGTCCTCAAGCACTTCACTAGCAGAACAATCTCACGGCACAGAGATGCCGTCCCTGGGTCCCATCCGGTTCAGCATGAGGTTGGGGAGGGGGTGTCCCCTTGTCAGTGACCTATTTGGCCTTGCCATCCACAGGACAAACCCAAGTATTTTCTCATTAACAGGTGAAGGAAGCCCCTCGAGGCCTAAAGCAAGCCTGGGTGTGCTCGAGTGCCTGCACACAGGGGTTGGCACATGGATGCCAGCGTTCTATTGAAAGCCTACCTGGGCCTCGTCACCTCAAACAAGAGATCTGAGGGGCGAAGAGGAAATTCCAGGGGTCTCGGCACCCAGCCAGGCTCACCCGTCACTTTCAGAGGGGAGGAGGGGCATACTCACCGCTACCGCCCACCAGTGGCGAAGCCTGCACACGGCATATGCGAGGATTAACACTTTGAACCGAAAAACGGCCAGGAGCTGTTTCAAAAGAGAGGGAAGAAAAAGCATGTCCTCATTTTAAAGGTCAAAACCCAGTGCCTATGACTTATTCAAAGGCCAGTAATCAGGACTATGGCTCCTAACTCTAGAGCGACGAGGAATCTTAAAGACCAGCTAGGCCAATCCCCTCCTTTTACTAATGAGGAAACTGAGGCAGTGAGGGGTGATGTGACTTGTCCCTGGCCACACAGACAGGGAGTGTCAGAGGAGAGACTCAAAGCCAGGTCTTCCTGGCTCCCTGGTCAGCACCTGGCTAGCCCGCCTGTCACACAGAGCCGGACAAAGCCTGACGTGTGAAGGGACAGAGGAGAACAAAGGACTGGGCCAAAAAGAAAGAAAAGACAGCCCCATACAATAGGACTGACAGTCAAACAGCCTGGGAGAAAGGAAGCAGGAGGGAGCAGAGGTGATGTAGGAAAAAAACCAAGGCCACCTCTCACAGACCTGCTCAGCCTTAAAGGGAACACAGGATTAAAGTCCTCTCAGTCTGCTGACAGCTAGTACACAGCTGTGTAGGTAGCTGACAGCTACCTACACAGTAAAGGACTCAGCTTCCTCAAATCGCTTTTGAGCTCTTGCTCTGCTACTTGGACTTGGGTTTTGTCTGCTGTGCACCTCAGGCACAGCTGCTGTATTTAGGCCTAAGGGCCCCAGCTTGAAGATAACTTATGTTTAAAGACGTATTGTCCTTAAAACCTCTCGTGAAAAAATTAATGCCCAGATATGAGATATTAACATGGGGCAGCCCAGTAGGGCGGTACAGAGAGTGCCAGGAGAGAGAAAGGCTGGAGTTAGGAATACGCACGTCCCTGCCCACCTCCTCAGACCATGGGAATCCCGGAACACGGCAGAGCAAAGTCTTTCCGTTTGAGTCCAGGATCTCCTGCCTCCTGGCAAAGTGTCCGTGAGGATCTCACTTCTCTCTGGGTCTCAGTTTACTCAGTTACTAATGGGGCAGGAGGAAGGGATGGGAATGACTGTATTGGGGAAGCTTGACTAAGGCCTCTTTTGTCTGTAACTCTGTGACACTGTGGAAAACTATCCTGTTCAACTCAATTTAAATATTCAGTCAATCCATTCATTGTAGGATGCTGTCATCCATCTCCTTTTAGAAGACAGGAGGCAAAGAGCTTCTGGAATGTTCCTTCCTCACTTCATGTGCAAACACAAACTTTGGAACGCATACAGGCAGGAATGGGGTTAGGCCAGGTGTCTATGTCCTCACCTTGCTGAGATGTCCGCATCTCTCAAGAAATGGGAGAATGGACGGGGAGGAGGGAAAGCAAAGGCAAGGACAGCCATCAACAAGATCATCCGGGGACCCCCCAGCCCCGGCTCAGGTGTAGGCAGCCCCAGCAGCTCAGAGATAAGCCCAAGCTGAGCCTCCGCAGGTGCCCGGGCAGGGAGTCACGGGCCTTCAAGCTGGGTCCCTGACTACATGCTGAACCTGATAAATGAATTCCAACTCTCCACTCCCTCCCCCTCTTCTTCTTGACAAAAAGAGAACAGCATACTTGTGTGAGCAGCACCAGCGGCTCTGCGTCTCTGATCTATTGTGTCTAATTTGGATTTGGAATGATTTTAGTTGTATTCAACATTTATGAATAATTATGGGGCAGCTAGACAATGCAGCGGATAGAATGGCCGGGCCTCGAGTCAGGAAGACTCATCTTCCTGAGTTCAAATCTGGCCTCAGACACTTACTAGCTGTGTGACCCTGGGCAAGTCACTTATCCCTGTTTGCCTCAGTTTCCTCACCTGCAAAATGAGCTGGAGAAGGAAATGGCCGACCACCGCAGTGTCTTTGCCAAGAAAGCCCCAAATAGAGTTACAAAGAGTCAGACACAACTGAAATGGCCAAACAACAGATATTTATGAATCATGATCTCCCTCCCTTCACCTTAATGGAAATGCCCTGGCTAGACAATGTGCTCTTCTCCACTGAGGAGAAGAAATGGAGCTCCCGGTAGACTCCCAGACAGAGCTGAGAAGGACTTGGACAGTACAGATGAGAAGACTGAGGCCCAGAGAAGGCGATGAACCTGGCCCCATTCACATGCTCATCTTCCACAGCAGACAAAGGGAACCAGCTGATTTTCTCTGGGCTCTGAGAGCAGTGTTTGTATTTCTGAAGCTCATATGTGAAGCTTGTTTCCTGTAAGTCTGTTTTACACAGTAGAGACCTACACAGTAAAGGACTCAGCTTCCTCAAATCGCTTTTGAGCTCTTGCTCTGCTACTTGGACTTGGGTTTTGTCTGCTGTGCACCTCAGGCACAGCTGCTGTATTTAGGTCTAAGGGCCCCAGCTTGAAGATAACTTATGTTTAAAGACGTATTGTCCTTAAAACCTCTCGTGAAAAAATTAATGCCCAGATATGAGATATTAACATGGGGCAGCTCAGTGGGGTGGTGCAGAGAGTGCCAGGCCTGGGGTCGGGAAGACCTGAGTTCAAATCCAGCCTTGGATATTAACTAGCAAGTCACTTTACTCCTGCTTGCCTCAATTTCCTCACCTACCCTAAAGGACTGTGGTGAGAATCAAACAAGATAATACTTGCACAGTGCCTGGCAAATAATAAGTTCCACATAAAGGCTTATTCCCCTGAAAAGACACAGACTGGCCTGTAGGTAAATATGCCCTCCGCTGGCTTTCTAGCTGGCTTAATGGACGAGCAGTAACGTGTCAAAGAAGATTGCCGCCCGGGGCACAGCGCAAAGCACGGAGGTCAGAGGGCAGTGCGGAGGTGCTGCTGGGGTTTCAAGAAAGAGAAGAACTAGCTCCGCCAGGGTGAAGGGCAGAAAGGAAGTGTCAGCATGGAAAGATGTGAGCCTCCTGCCAGCACCAGCCCTGGGGACGTGGGAAATACTCACAAATATGTCAAAGTAAGACGAATAGTAGTCATATTGCAACACCTCCTTCTCCAGGGTGTTCTCAATGCCGCCGTTCACCTAGAAGGGAAAGAAGAAAAGTGGAGAGAGAAAGGCTGGAGTTAGGAATACGCACGTCCCTGCCCACCTCCTCAGACCATGGGAATCCCGGAACACGGCAGAGCAAAGTCTTTCCGTTTGAGTCCAGGATCTCCTGCCTCCTGGCAAAGTGTCCGTGAGGATCTCACTTCTCTCTGGGTCTCAGTTTACTCAGTTACTAATGGGGCAGGAGGAAGGGATGGGAATGACTGTATTGGGGAAGCTTGACTAAGGCCTCTTTTGTCTGTAACTCTGTGACACTGTGGAAAATTATCCAGTTCAACTCAATTTAAATATTCAGTCAATCCATTCATTGAAGATGAGTACGGCGAGAACACCAAGGACCTTGATCCAGAAGGGATCCCCCAGACCATCCGGCTCAACACAGCGACTTCCCCGGGGTCACTCAGAGGGCCACAGGGAGCGGATGAGTCAGTCAAATGTAACTCTTCTCTCCCCCTCCTGCAAGAAGACATCATGCTAAGGCTAGGAGTACATGCCCAGCTGACCAATGAGGGGTCTTGCTGTCACAAACTGCTGGGGTGACAATGCCATGCATTTCTGTAAGAAGGAAAGCTGTGATAATAACAACTCACAAGGAGAGGGCATTTTAGGATTTACAAATCTCACTTAGGGGAAAAAATATCATTTTAAAAATTACTCCTAGGGGCAACTAGGTGGCGCAGATAGAGCACCGGCTTTATATTCAGGAGGACCTGAGTTCAAATCCAGCCTCAGATACTTGACACTTACTAGTTGTGTGACCCTGGGCAAGTCACTTAACCCCACTGCTTAGCCAAAAAAAAAATTACTCATAAAACATGAGCCAAACTAGAATCCTCCCCCCACTGCAGGCCTGACTTGTTGCCTCTCGCTCTTCCTGGACAAAGGACAGCTCCCCTGTTGTCCTCCTAGCTCTGGGCTGACCCCACCAAGCTCTGTGCCAGGAGCTGTGCTGCAGACTTGAGACAGATTGTATCCTCTCCTGCTCCCTGGTGACAGCTTCTCCTTCTCCCACTCACAGCTTTCCTCAAACAGGCGAGAAATGAGAGAATATTTTCAAAACAGCAAATGCCAACACACACTACCAAACCATACTAGACCGACCTCTGCCCCTGCAGACAGGGGAACAGCCTGGCCAAGCTGGGGAATGTGGGTGGGTCTGTCTGCCTGGACTTCAGGAAGGCATCTGATCAAGCCTCCTACTGCACTGTGAAGGATAACACAGAGGGCTGGGCTTGGGGGCACACACAGCCCCCGCTACCAAGACGCTCAGGCTGGGGGATGGCTTAATCTCAAGACTCTGAGACTACAGTGGGTTCTGCCCACTGGATGGCAGCCCTAAATTCAGCTTCAATATGGTGCACCCCCAGGAGTGAGGGGTCAGCCACTAGGTTGCCTAAGAGGCACAAACCAGCCCAAGCCGGAAACAGAGAAGGTCAATTCTCCCATGCTTTGTGGGATCAGTTCACGAGTGGCCCCCACACTTCCAGTCTGGATAAGACAGAGAGACCCAGTCTCTAAAGAAAAAAAAAAAAGGTAACACAGAGATTGGGATAGAGAGTAAATAAATACAGTTAGGTAGGCTCTCAATTAGCGGAACTGATGGACTGTAGGATTTGGCCCTTAAGAGATCATACGGCAAAACCCTTTCATTTCAGAGATGGGGTGACTGAAGTCTAGGGGTCAAAGCACTCGCCTGTGATCCCAGAGGAACGAAGCAGTAGAGTGAGTATTTGAAAGCTACCTCCAGTTCCCAAGCCAGGGCTCCCTCCGTGCTGCTTCACTGTCTAGATCTAGAGCCGTAAGAACTTCAGAGGCCCCCAGGCCAGACATTCAGCATTTCACAGTAGAGGAAAATGAGGCCCTGCAAGGTTAGGTTGGAGGCATTGTTTGAATCCGGGGTTGCCTGACTCTGAGTCCAGAGCTCTATCTTTACTTTCATTTAAAAAAGAAATGGTAGAGAAAAAACACAAAAATCCAACAAGTGGACCTTGCAAGTGCATCAATTTTTAGAGTTTCTTCAACTTGAGCATAGGAATAACAAACAGCAATTAGTTTTTCAATCATCTGAACCAAAGACAGAGTTATTTTTGATTTCCCAAGATACAGCAAGATTTCCATGAAGCCCCCTGGAAGATCCCGGGGCTTTCTGGAGCCTGTGTGTATGAGGCAGGTCTTTGTAAAATCACCACGAGAGCTCTTGAGTCAAGGAGCCTCTGGCCCAAAGTCAGATGAACATCAAAGCATTCCCCGCCCTGGAGACTGCTGGTCACAAAAATGTTTATGCATTCCATGCCCACTTATGGTCAAAGAGACCGCACACTTACAGGGGAGCTAAAGGGCAGAAGAGCAGTCGGCAACGGAAAGAAAAGAGCATGCTGAAGAAGGAAGGTTCTCTACTTTACCCAGAAAAACTGATCAACAGAGCAGAAATGTGATGCCCCAGAAAGACCTGGGATTCCCTGTTTTCAGCATCTGTTGGTTACTGCTTTGTGGACCTCACTATAAAATGCTTACTTTATATTTCTGTGTGTCTGTTATTTTAAATGCTTGATAAGCAGTCTCCTGCAGACAGCATTCTGACCCTCAACCGCTGGTGCGCCCATTTAATGAGGGACTTACTAGGGAAAACTGATGGGAAGCCTGGGAAGAGGAGAAGGAAAGGAAGGGAGCTCTCCCTCAGAGTCTGTAACAGAGGAGACAAAGGCTGGGAATCATCCAACATCTCACCTAGACTTTTGAGAAGAGATTCCAGATGTCAGAGGGAGGAGAGGTCATATCCCACAGACTCAAAGTCCACAGAGGACATCAGCCCAGCAGGATGTGACACTGAAGAATGTCATTTCAGCACCTGAAAGGCCCCACATAGATGCACAGAAAGCTCACCTATGAGAGTATCTAGAAGACATGCACACGGTGGAAGCGAGGGCAGGCAAGGGAGGATGAAGACAAAAGCATAGCACGGCCCTGTTGAAAAAGGATGGCAAGAGTACCAAAGGTCACCATGAGCTAAGGTTGGCAAGGCAAAAGAAGGACAATAGGAGGGGAGGGCTAGGAGAGGGCAGGTACAGTGAGGAAGAGAAAGAACCAATGAAAGGCTAGGACCGCTGCTCGGGGGGGAAGGGGCGATGCCAGCCAACAACCGAGAGGACACAGGGATCCTGAATCCTCATTTTTGCTTCTCCATTTTTAGGCCACAGAGAATGACCTTCGCACCAGAAATAAAAGATCAAAGATGTCGTCTAGGGCGTTGATACCCAAGATAAGTAAGAGAGCCCCTAACCAGCTCCCCTTGATGGAGTCAACTAACCTGCATCCTTAGCTACTGAAAGAACGAGTGGATAGGACTGACGCACCACTGTGAGGAAGACTGGGAAGACAAAGTGCCTCAGGACTGACAAGAGGACGATGGCTTTCACAGAAGGAAAGACAACACAATCTAAAAATTACAGGTCAACGGTGACCGGGGCATTGACCGCCAAAATCAATCTAGAACAAATGTGCAAGTAACAGTAAGTGACCGTTTAGGATGCGCTCACAGAGCATGGAGCTGCCCCAAGAATCGGTCGGCAGGCCCACCACGTGTCTTTCTGGATGGGATCGTGTAACTGGTGCAGGCAATAAGGCGATCCGCCAGTATGCGGGAGTGTCTAGACTGAGCCAAGGGTCTGATGCTGCGTGTTCTTCCCGGGGACAAGAAGGCAACATCGATAACGTGCCTCGCTCGGGAGATGCAGACTCAGTCAAGCTGCTGCCGTTTCCGTCTCCACATGGAAGGAGGTCCCGGAGGAGCACACCTGGGACCTCTGGTCCCAATGTGGTTTCATGTTTGGTTTTTTCCCTAACTCAGATAATCGTGCAGAGGGCCTACATTTCAAAGGTGGCAATGACCCAAAGCTAGGAGAGACAGCTAACAAACTAGATGATGAGTCAGGATCCCCCAAAACCCTCACAGATCAGCATGATGGCTAAATCTCAAATGAGGAAATTTAGTGTTTAACCATAGGCTTTGAGAAACTGATTTCAAAAGGCTAAGACAAAGGAAGCACATTGAGACAGCAGCTTTTCTGAAAAGGGTCTGGACCTCAGTACTGGGACATGGTGGCCAAAGAAGGCTACTGACAATTAGCCCCATTCCAAGGTGGCCTGGCCCTTCCCCTCTTGTAAGTTGGTTCTTTTTCAAGAGCAGGCTGGCAGATCGCTGGTCTGCTGGGGGTTCCACAGTGTGGAAGCTGGGACTGGATCTCCACTGTGCTCCTCCTCAACTCATAGAATTCTGTGACTCTGTATTTTTCCCAACAAAATTTACATGGAAAAACCAAACCACCTATGTAGAGGTGAATAACCTGTGTGGTTCCGGAACAGCCCTGTCAATGCTAAGCAGCTTCATTAGTGCTGTGCATTCTCCTTGATCCTAAAGTTCTCACCTAACATTTATACCAGCTGCAAACCTGTCTCACTCCCTGCCTAATACTCTTAGTGCCAAGCTCCAAAATGTCCCACAGGCGTGGGGAACCTGTGGCCTCGAGGCCACGTGTGGCCCTTGAGGTCCTCCAGTGTGGCATCTGAACCCAACATTCATCCCTGTCTTAGGATGTCCATCAACTGAGTCTTGAGACCCCCAGAATGTTCATGGAGCCTGGCCAAATGAAGGAGGATGTCAAGGGAGTGGCACAAAGTGGTTTGTCCTCTGCCCTGTTCCATTCAAGACTTTTTACTAATAACTTGAACGAAGGCACAGATGGCTGGCTTATCAAATCTGCAGGACACGTGAAAGCAAGAAAAGAAGCTGACAGCCTCAGTGACAGAATTAGGATGGGGCCCTATGTTAGGATCATGACCTGAAGCAAATAAGCATGACACGTGTTCTTGGTAAATTCCAAATCTCACATGTACCCGCTAAAGGGAAAGAGGGCTTAAGGCACTAACCTGAAGTTCAGACACGGGAAAAATAAGTCACTGAAGAACTCTCGGCTCAC